TTTCAGACAATCAAAACATAATCCCATATAGACATCTAAACTTATAGAGATCTCATAGGGACTAATGATTAATAAAATGATGCCGAAAAAACAGAAAACACTTGATGTGATTGTGTCAACCCAAAGGAATTCAATCCAATTCTAATCGATTGTCCTGAATTTTATTGATTGATCTCTTTAAATTGCAAGGACTGAACAAATAACAAAATATAAACAATTTTTTTTTTGAATATGAGATTCGAAATTACAGAATAAAACATGCTTCATTTTGATTATTTAGATTCTAGAACCTTGGTCGTCAACCCTCGACACGCGTGCCAATTTTTTTAACGAGTGCCAATCTAATGTTATGGCGTGCTTTTGGCACCAAAAGCTATACTAAAAGCTTGCCGACTCCTGTTCTAGAACATCGAAAAACAGTAACAACAATGAATTGAATACAGAAATTTGATTATAAAATATATACAACAATGGAAATAGTATCTACTATGAACGGAATGAAGAAATTGAAAATATTCCATAACAACAACATCATTACCAAACGAATGAATGCTGATGATGACTGAAAAGACGGTGATGAAAATGAAATTCCAATTCCAAATGGAATTGAAATGAACAATTCTTTTATCATTTTTTTCTCGGCTAAGAATTTTCTGATGCTTTTAAATATTATATGTATGTTGTTGTTGTTGCTGGGTTTTTTTCTGATTCTCGAATTCGACATTATATTATTATGTGTCATCATTGTCTGTGATGATAACGACCGTTTATGGGTCGAGATAAATAATCTATTATTTGAAAATGGAAAGGTTTTTTTCCATCATTGAAATTATTGAGTAATTTTTTTTCTCTTCTTTAGCTTTATGACTAAAAATGTTCTGTTTTTTTTGTTTGAAATTCTCTCTCGAGGATTCTGTCTCTCTGTGTTTCTTATTTATTTTACCTGTGTAAATGTAGTATTTTTGGTTGAATTTATTTTTTCTCTTTGTTTATTTCAGGATGAATAGTATTTATATATTCGTGTGTATGTGATCGCATTGTCAATTTTTTTTATCGATTCGGGTGTGTTTTTTTCAATCAATTGCAGATGATGATGATGATGATGATGATGATGAAAATCACCATTAGCTAACTAACAGTGTCCGTATGTGCGTGTGTGTATGTGACGTTCATATAATAATGGTTTATAATGATAATGATGATAACAACAATGATGATAATAATAATCATCATCATCATCATTGATTCTTTCCTTTTCATGATGATGTTTGGTTATGTTATCATGGTGGTTGTCATCATTGATAATGAAAGAATTATTACTTTTTTTTCGCTGAAATCTTATTCGTATCGACAACAAATAATGATAACAATCATAATAAAATGAATGTAGAATTTATTTATTGGTTTTTTTTTTGCTTTAGTAGTTGAACTTTGCCCGTTTCATTTATTGGATGATGATGATGATAAAAATAATCGAAATTGAACAACGAAAGATAATCAAAATGAACAAATACAATATTTTTTGTTTGTTTGTTTGTTTGCTATTAATTTTAATCAGAAAAAAAAGAAAGAAATGAACAAATTGATTTTGATTCGATTTTTTTTCTCTCTATACTATTGTCACTTTTTGTGGATTCCGATTCCGGATCCGGTTGAAAGACAAAACATTATTGGTTGATAATATTATATTATAATGATAGAATATTCTATCGATTCATTAATTAAGTTTTTATTTTATAACAACGAATAATGTACGACAAGGTCATCATAATTAATTATATATTGAATATTCCGTTGACAATATGTTGAATGGTAAAAAAAATTGCAACTTTTTTTTGAAAAAAAAAAACACTTTCATTTCGTTGAATTTTCAAGTTGTTCAACAACTAGAAATTACATCCGACATCATTATTGAATTTTTTTTTCATATCTTCTGCACCATCATTGAAAATTTTATTTATGTTCCAGACTCTTACTCTGGCTTTGAATCACACAGGCACACACACAATCCTTATCGACTGATGGTCTTTCGAAACAATATAACAATTTATAAAATGTGAATGTTAATGAGAATGAATTTTTTTCCCGGACCTTATACATTAACTGATCGACACGATCAACCAAGTAGAAACCAAAGAGAGAGAGAAAAGTTTAATCAAATAACACTGTTGGCCATAAATATGATCGTGGCATATCTTTAATGATTTTTTGATAATAATCGTTGCGTTATCAGAAACGAATTCCTTTGAATAGATGCCTAACTTTTTCACCACATCCGCCATGAATTGTGGTACTGCACCACGAGCATCGAATAATAAGCCATAGTTGCTTTTGCCATAAAAACACATGGAACAAATATTCGGGTTTTTTCTGGCCGCATCGTTCACCAAAAATCCAAATGAAATGTATGATGTTGTTGATATTGATAAACTTGTTATGTAATCACTATGTTCATATGATACACACACACACATCACATTGATGATGTTAAGGTAACGATTGGTTATACATACACAACTGTTTATATAATAACTAAAATTACTTTTTTATATTAATAAACAACCAAGTTGAAATTATTTTTGTTATCATCTACAGTTATATAATGCAATTGGCGCCACAAATATTGACTTTTTTCTCTGCCTCTTTTTTCCGTATACATAATGTTGATGTGGTACTACCTAACATTAGTAGAGTATACTATATTTTCGATTTTTTATTTTTTGGAATTTTCCTCAAATAACTTTACGGGTTCCATTTTGTAGTAGATGTGTTTCAAACAAAATAATGATGATGAGAAGTAGTATAATGGGTAAAATTGTAATAGCAAATCGATTTTTTCCCATTGATTACATTAACATTGGATACACGATTGATTTATTTTTGTCACCTTGGTCTTGTTATATATATATATGTTCCTGGTATAATATAATTCTGTTTTATTTTTTTACACTGATATTCTAGTCAAGAATCACAGTGTGTGTGTGTGTGTGATGAGTGATCCAAATTGGAAACATTTTGTTGTTAAGGTAGAACTACTGGGAAGTTTTTGGGGTGGTGATGATAGAAAGAAAAAGAAAGAATGATAGTTAATCCAGATATTCTGACTCTATTTTTGTGTGTGTGTTTGTGAATGTTTTTGGAATAAAAAAAAAGTCAACAAAAAAAGTCATCATCATGAAAAGTCATGATAATAATTTCACTTCTCTTATTCTCTATTTAGACATTCTTTTGTCGATTATATAAAATCACCTATACATACTATACACTACATCACGATTCTATTCAGTGTTATAAATTATAGTAACTGAAATGGAAATGGTAAACATTTCAATCGAATTGCGATTCTTTTTTTTTCTTTTTCTTGATACATGTAACATTCATTTACTTTGTAAAATAAAATGAGGATATTTTCTTTTTTTTTTGTTGAAACATAATTGTAAATTCTGTTTTTGTTTGGTTGAAACACTTTGTATGCTTGGTTGTGTTTTTGTTGTTGTTGTTGTTGTTGTTGTTGTTGTTTCAAAATCTACAATCACATCCATTGATGTCCATGTTTGTGTTTGTTTCGAGATTGTATGTGTGAAAAAAAAAGTTCCAAAGAAATATAATTTGTCGCTATACATGTCATTTCAAGTGTGAATGATCTAATTAACGAAAATAGATAGAAAGAACAATTTTTGTAAGTCGACACGTTGGATTCATTTAATTCAATATGAAAGTATGTTACGATATGATCATCATGATCATGATCGAATAATGTGATAAAATAATGAGTGATGGAACAAGTTTTAGGTTTTTTTTTTCTTCATAGCAAAACTAAATCAACATTCGAATCAACCATTGATAGTAACGTTAATGAGAATAAATTGTGTGCATAAAAAAAAGCAATATGAACGTGATTTTGATGATGTTGGTGAAAAAAAAAGAAAAATTCTTTAGGTACCAGTTTTTTTGTTTCAAATCAAAAAAAAACCAATCAAAGAATGATAACAACTGGATATCCGGGTTTACAATTAACATATTTACCATCATCATCGTCAACAACCTTGTGCATTTGAATTCATTCATTTTAGCTTACATTTAGAGATGTTAGATTTTTAGTCTATTGTCTTATTTGATACTCATACATAATAACTTGATGATTTCCCATCCGATAGTTTAATTCTAGAATTTTATTTCGTTTCGTATTTCATATATTTTACTCTTCAATCATAATTTTTTTTTGTTCAACCCATTTATCATGCTGTCATTGTTTTTTTTTTTTTTTTATTCTTTCATTGATCGTTTTTGAGTTGTTAGAAAAATTCTTTTCTTTCATTATGATTTTTTTTATGGATCATTGTATTGTTATTTATGACAAGCCATTAAGTGTTAAAAGTAGCTCTTTTTTTATCTTAACAATCGTTTGAGATACATTTAAAAGAGTTTTTGTTTTGCATCCGATTTTTTTTGCATATATGAAAAAACTATCTTCTAAAGAATCCATCCATTCGAATGTATTATACTAAATGAAACAAGAAAATTTCGTCATCATTTTCATAATTAGTAATATGGAAACTTGTCTGGAATCAAACCCACACACACACACACACATTAGTGAGAGAAAGAGAAAATTCTTGTATGTGAAATTCTAAATTTAACGTTCCAATCAGTTCCAATCAATGAGAGTTTTTCTTTCAAAGTTCAGATTGGACTTTTTTTCCTACACACTATTGTGAAACCAATTGACGAAATTCCAATACACCATTCAATCAACAAACAACATTGCCAAATTACATATTTGCAGTTGTGCGTGCGTGTGTGTGTGAGAGAGAGAGATTTGATTTTTTTTTTTTGATCAAAAATTCTCAAGAAAAAAAACTTTTATTTTTCTATCATTCTATATTTGATTCTCTCATCAGAAAACATAAATGTAGCCAATTATGAAGAAAGAAAAAAAAAGAAAAATTCTCAAAACACAAATTTTAATATTTTTCCATTTCATTTCATTTCATTTTTAGATTTCAATCATCATCATCATCATCATCACCATAATCAATTGCCCAAATTTTCAATCAGATCAAATCTTATGATTTTACTTGAAGAAATTTCCATTTATTAATGCCGAAACGAACAACAAACAAACAAATAAAAGCCTAGAATTTCAATCGTTCAATCATCATTCTAGTTGTGTGCCTATATATTTCATATGATTTGTTGTTCCTTCGTCAGCCAATATTGCCAATTTCAACTTCAAAATATGTTGCCATCATTTTGTTATCATTCGACTATTCCATTAGCAATCATTCATCATATTAATAATCGATTATTGATCAACTAATCAATTTCATTCAATCATATGACCGGAATAATTTAACGTTAAAATTTTTCAACAACAAAAAAAAATTCAACATTACATGAACGGCAAAACGATACGCTGAACCCGGTCATCCCGGACACAGCCCCATTTAATTGAAGCCGACGTAATGACAAAATGCCTGGCGGTCGTAGAGGTCTCGTTGCGCCTCAAAATACATTCTTGGAAAATATTATTCGTCGATATAACTCGTTGCGTAAGTTTTTTTTTTGTTTACCGATTTTGTTTTATTCTATCTAATAATTTGTCTATCATGTCAATCGATCTTGTTGATTGTTTTTTCTCGTTTGAATTTAATCAATTTGATCATTCAATATATATGTTTCCGTGTGTGTTTATCGTATAATTTTTTCACTTTATCAAGTAATCTCTTATTACTTTGAAAGATAAATTACATATATTGTCGTGATGACAAATTGAATGGGAGAGACTAAATTCTAGACTGTTTATTGTTTGCCTGTAGCAATAATAACGACACACACACACACATAGACAGACAAATGACTTTAACGATAGCTCTATCCATATATAAAAGAATTTATTCTGTTTGACTTTGTTTTTTGAAAAGAAAAAAAAATTCTGCCCTATGGTTATTATTCTCGATTTTTATTTCGTAACTTTACTTGATTTATTTGATCAGTCGATGATAATGATGAGTAGTCCAGTTGAGTACAAAAAATTATATTAGATTAAAGACCATAGTATAGAATGATGAATGAATTTATTGACTGAAATGTTCTCATTCTTTTTCTCCACTTTGGAATGAATGAATGAATGAATGAATTGATGGAAATTGTCATTGTTATACCAATTAATGAACATTTTGTCTGAAGAACTTGAACATAAATTGTTACTTGAAATCAGTATACGTCGATCACTACATATTCAATAGTGTAAAAATTCTTTATCAAAAAAAATAAGGTGTCCATTTCCTTATGAATAATAACAATCATTCAAACAAATAAACAAACACCAGAACAATAATATACAACACCTTACAACACATTTATACATTTATAGTTAAAGTTGATTTGTTAGGAAAAAAAATGAAATAAATATCCAGGTCAAATTTGATATATCAGAAGAAAAATCATTTTCATTGTACCTAATACCTATACATACACACACACACACACGCAATATTAAAGGTTTGAAGGTGTATTATTTTTATTCTTCTTCTTCTTCATCATTGAGATTCGAACCGAATTTCAACTTGACTATTATCATTATTGTTATTATTATTAGTTTTCTCGTTTTCATCATCATCAAACAATCACACTATTTATACTGGCCAATTTTTTCCTATGACATGTCTTATAACACTATTTCCTTGTTTTTTTTTCTCCTACATATGTGTGTCAGTAGGTAGTTGGATAGTTGTTGTTGTCATTGATTAGAGCTGAATTTAATTTCTAAATAAATGAAAATAACACCATTGTTTTTTTGTTTTGTTTTTTTTGTTGATATTGATGATGATGATCCTATTAATCATTTTTTATTTTGATTGTTACTAAGCCAATTCCATATGATAATAATAATAATGGGGAATTTGGTTTGGCCAACAACAAGAAAAAAACCAATTCATTTTCAGATGGATTTTTTATTCCACGATAAAAATATGGTCTATTGTTTTGTTCATCATCATATATCTATTATTAATTTATAGTTGAACGATGATGATTTGACCATGTCCGATATTTGTTCGTATGTCTGTGTTCGTTGAGGTTGAATATTTTGATAATTTTTGATTTTCAACAGATATGTTGTTATTCTTTCGTTACATTTCATTATTTTTTCATTCGAGAGAGAGAGAGAGAAAAAAAATTCCAAATTTGTTCTTGGATCACATTGTATATTATCAGCAATAACAATAACAGTATAGTCATAAGAGAATGCAAATGCAAACAAATGGAAAAAAAGGTTTCTGCAATGTTTGGATCGAAAAAAGAGAAGAGATCCTTAGAATTGAGTTATAATCATTATGTTAGAGAAAAAAAAGCAATGATTCCATTCGGTTTTGGATTCCATAACATAGAATCGTAGAATCCATAGAATTGTAAAAGGTTTTCGTAAAAATCTTTTTTTCTTTCATTGGAACTCTATCATTCATCATTCGGTAAGTCCTAACTAGGAAAAATACATGAGACAAATCAACGAACCAAACGAATGAACGAACGAAAGATAATAATCATGATAATGAGAGAAGATTTTCTCAGATTTGTTTGCTTTGGTATTTGAAAAAAATAAGATTCTTTCGTAATATCGCCGTCTTATATCATTATTATCCTTTTTATAGCCATTTCGAATTTATGGCAAACAGAAATGATGATCAGTTTATCCGATTACAAACACATAAAGAAAGCCATCTGTTTGCGTGTGTGTTCATCGTGAAATAATTTGGAATTTTGTTGTTGTTGTTGTTGTTATTGTTGTTGAAACCATCGTTTTGAAAGAAATAATTAAAAAAAAAGAATGAGAGGCCTTGAAAATCTGCAAAGACTATCCATTTCTATTGAATTGCACCGATACAATTGATTAATATTTGATGATATATCATTTGATGGCAATGAAATATCGATTTTTTTCTTTCATCAACAATCACACACACACACACACATGTATATGTTAGAGAAATTGAAGAAATATTTCCCACTTCATATTCATTGAAAATTTTTTATGGAACCCTAAGAATTATTCTATATTATTATTACATAATTATTCTAATTATTACTCATATCTGACTTTCTCAGGTATAAAACCAAAAAAAAAAGAATATATTTAGCACTGTTTCTGTTCCATTATTCACTAGAATTCATATTTCATAATGTGAATGAAAAAAAAAAATTGGAAAAATTACGAAAAGAAAATTGAAATTATTATGGCATTTATTAATTTTTCATAACGTTTTTTTCCCACTTTAAAAGTGAATCTTAGGTTTTTTTCGGAAAAATTGCTTGTGCTATATATTTAATTTATGATGATTACTATAATGATGATGAAGATGAAATTCAAAAAAAAAATTGACAATCACTACTCATTTGCCAAAGGCTGTATGTGAATTTCATCCATTATGGGATTCAAATTTGATTCAATTTTCAACAATTTACATTTCCATCATCGTCATCATTGGTTTCAATTTTGTGGCTAAATGAACTATAGGAATTTTTTTTTTTGCTTCACACTTATTCTCTGATGATGATTGAATTTTAAATTGAATTTATTTCAATTTATATTCGTGTGTAGAAATGTGTGGGGCTTGTTTGTGAAACCAAATGAAACATTGAATGAATCGAAATAATTTTTATCATTTTAATGGTTGGATTCAAAATCAGTCATGGAACACAAACACACACAATAAAACCAATCAATCATTGATATAATGGCAGTTTTTTTACAGATTTTTGCTTCATTTAAAAACTTTATCTTAATCAGTGAAGACATAGATGATGATGATGATAATAATGACAATCAATGATGAAATATGAAACAAAATTGAATCGTTAACAAAACAGTGAAAAAACAATGATTCCAGTATAGTTTTTTAGTGGAATTTTTTCAATTCATTCATTCTTTCATTTCAATTTTTTTTTATTCTATCACAAACCATTGTTCTATTATTGCTGTTCTGTTTCTTCAATTTGCTTTGATACACGATTTAGATTTTTTTTTTTTGTTGTAAAATGTCTGCTTTTTTCTTTTTTTTTTTTTTGTTTTGAATTTTTCCATTATTTGAAACAGAATCAATGATGGACAGAGACAAACTACTGGAAAAAAAGTTTGCGTTTGGCTGAGATTTTTTTTATTTGTTTTCGACTTTTTGATTTTTTCAATTTTTTTCCCGATTGTCCATTCTACTATGTTTCACAATGATAACTGATGATAATAAACAAGTGAAAGTCCATTTCTTTTGTTTAGGCCCGTTATAAACATTGAAATCCAATTCTCATGTGGATTTTTACATTTATTATTTTTCATTATTATGAAGAAAAACCATTTCGATTCTTATGGACTGAATGGTTTGTTCACAATTGTAATATGAAAAAAATATATGTCACATGTGTGTCCTATTATCATCAATTCAATCATTTCTTTTGATTCAAAACAATAATGTAAGAAGTTTTTTCGAAAAATAAAAAAAACTTTGAAACGTTACTGTCTACATGAACATTATGATTAATTAACATTGAAATTTTTTTTCTTCTTTTCTAACCCAAACAAGACATCCATCCATTTTATATATAAGTATGCTATACAGTGTGGTTAAGCATTTTTTTCACGCTTTTTTTCATTATCACAATAACCGAATACTGATGGTTTTTTTTCATTTGGAATTTCTAGTTGAATCTATTTTTTTTTGCCACCATTTCTCATCATTCATTCAACATTAAACTCTTTAACTCTCATGTTACCTATACAACCACAACAACAACAACAACAACTTTGGATTCTCTGTTTGGTTGATTATTCACTGAAAGAATTTTTTTTTTATCTAACAAAAGTTTTTTTTTGTTGTTTTCTTATTCACCCGTTTTGGTGTTTTTACCCGTTTTTTTTTAGTTATTCTGGCAAGTTTTCTGTGCATAAGATTATATTTTTGTCTTCTTCTTCTTCTCATGACTTTAGTATTTAACTTTAATGTTTTTCGTTTTGTTGTTGCTGTTGTTGTTTTTTATTCTTGATGTGAGTAGATTTTATTCGCTTCAACAAATAATACCAACACACATGCGATTTTGCATTCTTTACTATGTCACATGTATGTCCTATTATCATCAATTCAATGTTTTATTTTGATTTAAAAACAATAAATGTAAGAAGTGTCTTTTCGAAGAAATAAAAAAACTTTGAAACGTTACTGTCTACATGAACATTATGATTAATTAACATTGAAGGTCTTTTTTTTCATCATATAGACCCAAAACAAGACATCCATCATCATTTTTTTTATATATAAGTATGCTATACAGTGTGGTTATTCTATTCTTTTTTTCACGCTTTTTTTTCATTATCACAATAACTTGTTGTATACTACAGGGATGTGTTTACATATATTTTCATTTGGAATTTCGATAGTTGAATCTAGTGATCGTTTTTGCCACCATTTCTCATCATTATTTTCAACATTAAACTCTTTAACTCTCATGATTACCTATACATTTTGGGACATACAACAACAACAACAACAACTTTGGATTCTCTGTTCCATTTGATTATTCACTGAAAGAAATTCCAAAACAATCATTTTTTTTATCTAACAAAATGCTTCGGCCAATTCGGGTGTTTTTGTTGTTTTAACAGCAATGATGTTTATTCACCCGTTTTGGTGTTTTACCCGATTTTTTAGTTATTCTGGCAACTTCGGTTGATTTTCTGTGCATAAGATTATATTTTTTGTCTTCTTCTTCTTCTTCTCATGACTTTATTACATTACATATTTAACTTTAATGTTTTTCGTTTTGTTGTTGCTGTTGTTGTTTCTTATTCTTGATGTTAGTAGATTTTATTCGCTTCAACAAATAATACCAACACACGAATGCATCAATTTTTTTGTTCTTTATTATCTTTGATGTTTTACCAAGAAAATGAATTTTTTTGTTGTTATTATTATTATTTTAAGCTCAATAAATTGTTCGAATTATTGTCTTTTTTAAAAAAATTTCGTTGACGATGAAACGATTTTACTTTTATTTTTTTCCTCTTTATGGTTTATTATTCCGTTTTTTTTTATTCTCCATAGGTCTCTTCATCATCATCATCATCATATAGACAGCCGGTGGAACAACGAACAAATAGCATCTTCTTGAGCCAAACATTTGAAATCATCAATTGGATTGGGGATTTCTTAACTTTTGTTGTTGTTGTTGTTATTCGATATTCGTTCCAGTCATGATTGGGAATCGGACACTATTGAAATTTTTTAATAACCAGATTATTATTAATATTTATTATTCCTTGTTGTTTATTCTACAGGGTATGTGTTTACATATATTTATATATATATGTATTGTCATGATAAAAGGTTTTGCTTTATTTTTTTGTTTTTGTTGCTACTGGTGGTGATGTTACACAATCTATAAGACAATATATAAGAAACAACAACATCATCATCAGATGAGAAAAACAAAGACATGAAAGAATCGAAAAGAGTTCAACTTTAACAATAGACAAAATTCAATCACAGTCGAGTTTTACTTTTTTTTTGCTGCTATTGTTTTCTGTTATTCTGTAAAGATTCTCTTTGTAGAAAAAAATAGGATCATCATTAATGGCCATGTGATCATCATAATCATATACAGTTTTTTTCTGATAATAATAATAATAATAATAGCAATCATAATTTAACTGAAAGCATTCTAAACAACAATAGTATATAAGTTATACTTAGTTATTGGATATTTGAAACTAATTTTTTTATTTCACCATATATGGCTAGAATAATTTATTTTTCTATTCTTTTTGCATTCATTCATTCATTTTTTGATAATGATTTCGTCTGTCAGAATATTATTTGAAAGATTTTCAAGCCAACATTTTTTTTTTTTGTCATCACCCCTATTCTACATAATCTTGTTTATCTATGTTTTTCCTTTCACAAGAATGAAATTATATCATAATGTCAAGTTTTTTGTTGTTGTTTCATGCTTTTTACCTAATGGTATTGTCTGTTGTTTTTCAAGTTATCTCATTTTTTTGATATAACATGACACACACACACACAATAACAACTGTTTAGATTTGTATTTTATTTCATAGTGAATCAAAATGATAAAATGTTTTGATCTTTTCAAGATGAATCAATTTTCTATCAATCTTAGATTTTGATATAAATTATGGCATATATTTATGTATTCTTTGAAAAAAAATATTCAACTTGTAAAAATAATTGAATATACAGTATGGATGCATAGAAAAATGTCAAGTTTCATTTTAATTTTTCATTATTATTTTGATTTAGCTTTTTTTTTATCAAGTTAAATCTATAGTATCTACATTCATACATATTCAGATTACATTTAGTCATAATATTATATATATCTTGTTGTTTGGTTTGTGAAAAAATTATTATTATATTAATTATTATTGTTGGCTCGATTTGGCTCTCGATGAATTCCAAGTTTAATTTAAATTTAGAACACTTTCTATCTTTTTTTTTTTTTTTTTTTGGTGATGAAATTTGTATTTTATGAAGAATTAAATTCTCTTAGTCATAGGGCTTATAGTTACTATGCATATACAAACACAAACACACTCCACATATATTCGATTTTATTTTTTATTTTTGTTGTTGTTGTTTATTCGTGGAATGGTTAACAATGGTTTAAACATTCTCTGCACACGACATGTTCCACATATTTGATTTTTTTTTTAAATGAAACTTGAAAAATTTAATTCTAACTTGCAGCAGACATCCTATGGAGCAAGAATCCAATTTTCTTGATGCCTAGTTGTCTTTAGAGAAAGTGAATGAGAAAAAAAAATTTCATTGTGGAAAGTTTTTTTTTTTTTTTGCTTGCAAAAACTACAACAAGTTTAATATGAATTAGTTTTTCACACACCACATACATACATGCACACACACAAAAACATAGAACCAGAATTCGTTTATATGTTTTTTTTGAACTTTTAAATTTGGTGGAAAATAAAGTTTATGAAAAGGAAATGGCCATCATTACAGTGGCCAGAATAAGATGAAAAAAAGAGGAATCGATGTTTTTTTTTATTTCTGAGTTAACAAACTTTTTTTTGTGGGCGTGTGTGTTTCACATCGCTTTCAACACAGACCATTGTCAATTTTTTTTTTTTTGTTGTTGTTAAAATTTTATTGACACTTTTTTTGTTGTCAAATTTAATTTTTTTTTTTTTTTAATGTAAGTTGTTTGTGTGCACATGTGTAGACATGGACTTTTTTTGATTTATTTTCTTTTCTCTTCCGTAAAATACATTTTTTTTTATGTTAATAATTCTTGTTCTTTAAAATTTTCTCATTTTTTTTTTTATTCTTTTCAATAGCTGATTGCAGTTTTTTACTTGCCAATGCCCAGATTGTCGACTATCCAATTGTTTATTGTTCAGAATCATTCTGTCGTATATCCGGCTATAATCGTGCCGAAGTTATGCAGAAAAGTTGCCGTTGTACATTCATGTACGGTGAGATGACCGATAAACAAACTATATCACGAATCGAACAAGTATTGGATAATCATGTTATTGAACAATTTGAAATATTGTTATATAAAAAAACACGTAAGTCAATTATATATATCACATTTATTTATCTTTCATTTTTTTTTGCTTCGTTTTGAAAATTTTGCTTGTTATATGGTTTTGGGTTTATAAAAAAAAATTTAAAAACATTTTACATTAAAATGTGTGTGAAAAAAAAATGGTTGACAACGCTGGTTTTTTCTCGTTTCTCTCTTAATTTTCATTTGCTGAGTGTTTATTTAATCTATTTGATTTTTTTGTTGTTCGTATGTGTGTCACAGTGTGTACGTATTATTATTACATTTGTTTTTTTTTGTTAATTATGAAAATCAATAAAAATTTCACAATAGGCTGCCTTCAATATATAATCACCATCACCAACATAAACTGCATCAATCAATTGACAATTCTTGTAATTTTTTTTCCATGCATACAGATATTCTGCATGCGTGGTGGAATTTGATTCTTTATAAATTGTTTATAACAAAATTTTGATAATTTTCATAAAATGACCATTATCATCATCATTTGATATATTATTATTTTTATTTCCAGAACAACGGTAGCAAAAAAAAAAATAAAATAAAATGAAACTCCATTTCACCATTTTCATGATTTCTCCTGAGAAATCTGTTGATGAAGTGTCTTTTTTTTTTTGGCGTGAAAATTTTTCCGTTTTTTTTTGTTTGATTTCCTCCATTTACACAAAACACTAGCAGCAGCAGCAGCAGCAGCAGTTTAGGCCAAATTGTTTCATTTTTTATTTCGTTTACTCTTACAAACAGAATATCAATATCATGTTCATCATCATCATAGGTTGGTTGGTCAACTATGTTTCTTGTATTGTTATTGTCATGTTTGTTTTGTTGTTGTACGACGAAATTGGATACAACATATATATCTCATGTCAATTTGACATCAAAAAATGTGCTCGAAAAATTGCTTTATTCAGTGTTTTTTTTTTGTTCTAAAAGAATCTTTTTGCTCTCAAACGTATTTTTCCTATCCAATTTATTCAATCACATATATATATGTATTGCGACCACTTCCGACCACCAAACACAGCAGTAGAAAAAAAAATCGATCCATCAGCCAATACTTTTTGATTTTCATTTCAATCAGAAATTTTTTTTTTTTGTTGTTTCAATTGTTTTAGCTTAGTTTTTTTTCTCATGATTCTTGGACACCATCATCTTTCTCATCAAAAATTGTGAAATATTTGATATAAGCTGAGATATTTGATTGTCTTCTTATGTTAAGGATCAAACCATGTATGTATGCATGTGTGTGTGTGTGTTTGCGTGATCACAACAAATATTTGTTTTCATCTCCATTTCCATTCTCTATATATATAAATATATTTTTTGTGTGTGTTCAAAGATGATGGAAAAAAAATTCATTGTATATAAAGCTAAATAGATCTTTATTTTCTATCTATATGACTATAAAATGAATATTTTGTAAATATTTACATACATACAAACACACACACACACACACATTCACACACATGGAATCATTGAGAATTGAAAAAAAGAAGAAAAAAATTCTGAATGGTTATGGATATTTATTATCATTATCATTCATCTATCCATCCAAGCCTTTCATACATTGTTTTTTCTATTCTACATTGTTTGTCTGTTTCTATGTATGTCGCACCTTTGTTGTCTAGTAGTGTTTTTTTTTTTAGTGTATACTACTTCATGATGTATATTCTGGATATATACAAGCAATATATCGAACGTCAATTCCTATTTATACTATCCATCATCATTGTATATCAAATTGATGAAAAAACAAAAATTATTCTGGACTAATTGGTTTGGTTAGGTGTTTTTCATTTTCATGATCAGCTTTTTTATCATATCATTGATATTTTTTTCCACTATTTATCATCCTCATCATCATCATCATCGTTTTCATTGTGTACAATCAATCGTCATATAAAATGTGATGATGATAATAATGACAATTTATTTCATGAACCATAGAATAAACAAGTTACCGCCCATCAAATATTTTTTTTTTAATGTAAACATTGCATAATAATCTACATAACAATATAATATATAGATGAATGTTTAATTAATATCATACATTCATGATATATAGCTGTTCATCATATCTATAGATATGTTTTTTTTTCCTTTTATTTTATTTATTTTCTTTTTTATTTATTCAATTTTCAATTAAATTTTTGTTTTGTTTTCGGAAGCTAATAATTCAACAAAGTTATAGAATTGTCATCATCATCAACCAGAATAATAATAATAATAGTGGATGATTATCATTTTTTTATCGTCTCAATCAGTCTAATGCGTTGAATACTTTTGAAAAATATAAATGTATATAATTTTGTATCCGCCCAAGTTTTTTTTTGCAGAATTAATAAATAGTTTGATAGAATTTGAATGTTGGTTTAATTAACACTTTTTTTTCTGTAAAATTGAATAATGATTATATGATGATAACAATGATAGCAAATCCACTGAATTCTATTTTTATTACTTATGATAATAATTTCATTTTATTCAGTGAATCGAGATGATATATTCAGATTTTTTTTCGTATTTAAAATAATTCTTCTGGTGAACAGTGTGTTTTGCAAAAAAAAAATTCTCAAATACTCATTCGTGATTTACATAAAGATTTTTATCTCCTGAATGACGAAATATTCCGACTTTTATTTCAAATATAATGATAATCATACGAGTTATTAAAAATTCATTTCAATCCAGTAAAAAAAACCAAATCTAGTTTTCAAGATGATTTCTTCACATCTTTTTTTTATCATTGTATTATCATGTTTTTGGTTTTTTGTTTGTTTCAATTTTTTTTGCCGGATCCTAACATGACAATCGATTTCCTTTTTTCATATCTCTGTATTTTTTTCCAATAAATTCTTATTATTGTTGTCTTTGTATCGATTTCTAATTAAAAATCAATGCTGAAAATAATCATCATCGACTATTGCTTTGATTGCAAATCATAACTGCATTGTGTTAGGATCATCGTTTTTTTTGTTTGTCCATGTTTTTTCTTCAAATTCAATGATATTGATTTCCTGTCTAAACGAAACAAAACAAAAAAAATAGCGGAACCATTCAGTAGAACTAAAATTCATCACATTCAACAACAACAACAACGACAACAGCAATGACGACTACGACAACAACAACAATGGAAAAAAATTCATTAATTTATTAGAATTTTTTTTCAATTTCACAACAAATAAATGAAATCTATCTATTTTTTCAGCTTAACATTACAAAAAAAAATCTAGTAGATGAAATAATAATGAAGTGCATCAATTAAATTTAATTGGTCTAATTTATTACACACACCCACACAGAAAAATACACCTAAATACTTTTCTACAGCCTCTGTAAAAAAAAAATTCGTTGAATTGTCTGGCTTTTTGTTTTTTGGTTCATGTTTGATGCTTTTTCTTTACACTTTTATTCTGTTATGTAATTTTCTGCTTTTATACACTGTTTTTGTTTCTACTTTTTATTTTGAATAATTACAAATTTTAAATTTTCTGTATGCTATTTAAATGCTTTTAAACATTATCAATTTTTTTTTCTCATCTGACTTGAATTTTCTGTGTGTGTGTGTGCGTGTTTTTGTTGGTTTTGGCTTTTTTTCTGAATTGATACTTATGTGTGTGTGTGTATATGATTATTATGAAAATGATGTTGTTGAATATTCTAATTAAATTTTTTTGTTTTGAAATAAAAAAAAATGTCATTTGCTTGGCTCATGTGCGATTCTCTCTATCTATTTTGCCGATGCTTTTCTATTAGTGGTCGTTTTGTTAATGAAAATTAAAATTGTTTCCAATTTTTTTTCATGTTTTTTTTCGTGTATATGATAATTTTTCATACTTAAATCAAACAACGAAAAAAAAAAAAAAATACAAACCAAAACACAATTAAAAATCATATGTATGTAGGACCATATTCGGCTGCTTCGGCCCCAGGATCGCCAATTAGTCGCCATAATACATCACCTAGATCTAGTTCAGGTAAGCCTTTTGTGGAAAGAATAAAAAAAAATACCATGTATAGTTGCATTGTGTGTAAATTTGGATTCATTAATTTTATTTTTTAGCTCATTTTTTCCTATTTCCGTTTGAATTTTTTTTTACTGTTGTTGTTGTTGCTGCTGCTGCTGTTTGTCGTCATCGTTGATTCTTTTTCATTGTATTTTTTTTCCCATTACCTATTTTCTTTTCCGTTATATTTACCATTTTTATAAATAATTTATTCAATCACCAATGAATTTTTGTTGTTGTTGTTGTTGTTGTTATGTTAGATTCCATGTTATTATTCAATTCTTCGATTTTTTCCGTTGTTATTGTTGTTGTTGTTGTTACCATCCTGAATTGACTTGCTATCCACAACTGTGATGATTCGTGTATATTATCATTATTATTCAGAACTAAAAAAAAATCACATGGGTTATATTACATTTTTTTCTCTTGTTGTCTTTTTTATCGCGTTAAAATATATCAACGGCATCGGAAATTCTTTTTTTTCATTTCAATAACAACAACAACAAAAAAATGTTAGTCATTTTATGTTCATGTTTGCATATATTGAATGTAGTAGAGAGTACATGACTTGTATTTTTTTTCTTTTGCTGCACACATATATTTAATTGTAGATTGAATATATATATCCCTTTCGATTCTTTTTTTTTGGTATTTCATCATCATGTCAGAATAATCGATTTTCATCGTTTTTACTTGAATGTTACTCTTGTTTAACTCGTTTTTCCCCATTTTCATTTTGTTTTCATTTATTTATTTTTTTTCATTGTTGTTGAAATTGTTTGAAATTTGATGCGGATGATTTTGAGAAAATTGAAATTTTTTTCCATTGTTCAACATCCCAACAACAAATTATTATTATTTCAAGCAATGTTTATTTAAATGTTGCAAAACATTCTTATCCATTTCATTTTAGTGCAATCAAGGAAAGAAACAAAATCCGTCAAAAATAAACCAAAATATTTTGTCATGATCAACAATCATGATGATGATGATGATGATAGTGATTCATAACCAATGTCTTTTCTCTTTTTTTTCTCATTGTTCCAAATTTAGCCTTCCTATTTTAAGTTCCATTTCCATTTTATTCTTTCATTCTATGCCTATATATATATGTGTGTGTGTGTGCGTTTTTGTATGCGACAGTCATCACATCGTCGTCGTCTATATCCTATTTTGACTGTGTTGGAATTTGAAATTCTATTTATAGCAACAACAATCGACCACCAACATACATACACTTTATCCATCAAATTAGGTCATATTTTTTTTTGTTCTTTCATATAAAGCAACATATATATTTGTATAATGATGACGATGGTCGGTCGTTTGATAATGTTTTATGGTCCATGGTCTGGTAATTTATTTCACGGAATATATGTGTGTGACCTTGTTAGTGTTTGTGGACTATATTTTTAGATTTTTGTAGACATGATTCAGTTTAGCAATTGTAACCAGTTTGTATTATGTTAAAGAGATGATCGTTTAACCAGTAAAAACTTACTCGATGAAATACAAAAATTGACGAACGACATTGATTGTAATTTGAACAGTTAGAATCACCACTACCATCATCATCATAATCATCAACGTCATTATTATTATTATTATTATTATCAACCAGAGAATAAAGGACAAATACAATCGATTTGATGGACAAAACGTTTTCAGAATAAATGGCCTGTTTTGGAATTTTTTCCCTTCATTTCTTTCTTTATATTATACACTTTTATTCTCTCTTTTACATTTTTGTTCTTATTGTTGTTAGAAATGAATCGGATTTTTGTTTCTGGCGACAACGATAATATTGATCATTATTCTTTTTTTGTTTTTGTTTTTTTCTTTTATTATTTGGTTGTCCATCGAAAAAAAAGAAATTTCCATCCTATCAGCCATTAATATTTGATAGTGACAAACATAAAATAAAACTAAAAAAATTATATTCAATTTAATATTATTACCAATTTACCATGTTTATATGTTTGCCCATAAGAGAAATAAAAATATTCATAGTTTTATAATGATTTCAAAATCATTTATGACAGCGAAGCTCACTTTTAAATGATTCTACCATGTTGGGCATCTATCCAGCTATTGTACATTTATGACCATATTCCACAATTCATTAATTTTCATTCATAAAGTGTTATTTCCTACAATATTCTCTTTCTCATACACACACACACACTTTCTCTTTTACTCTTTATTATACATTCATAATGATTATCATCATGTGAATAGTGAACGTGTTTTTGTTGAAATGTGAATGTGAAGCGAATATAAACAATGTTGATGATGACCAACCACGATCATCATCAACAACATATGTTGATGATGTCAAGTACCATAAGTATGTGTGTGTGTGTGTGTGTTTGTATGTACAAAAAGTATAATAATAATGATTATAATCTAACTAATTTCTCTTAATGATAGTCATTATTGCAATAGCTTCAACACTCATAATGATGATAAGAATAATAATTTTGTTTTTTTTCTGTTTTTTCTCATCATTTTTATTGTTGTTGTAAACATAAATACATATATATAGGTACACCATTATGGCTATTATTACAAGTGGCACCGATCAAAAACGAAAAAGATGTGGTTGTATTGTTTTTGCTCACTTTTCGCGATATAACCGCATTGAAACAGCCAATCGAAGAAGATGCACAAAAAGGTCTAAGTAAATTTGCACGATTAGCCCGTTCGGTAACACGTAGCCGTTCGGTACTTGCTCAACAATTTTCATCACATCTACCAGTCATCAAAGCTGAGACTAGTTCAAGTAAACAATATCATTTGGGCCAAGTAAGTAGTAGTTATGATTTCAATTTATTTATTCATTCATTTATTTCCCTTGTGATCAATGTTATTGCTTATTTGGTTCTTATCTACATTAAAAATCATCATCTTCTTCCATAGATAATGATGATATACCTTATGATGATGATCATCAATATCATCATTACCATCAACCACTAGGACAAGTATAAAAATCTAATTCAATTAGATTTGATCACCAACAATGATGATGTTTTGAATTTATTGAGGTTATTCAATTCAATACAATTTTAATAACATGAATATATATGAGGAAATTACTATTTGCATCATGTTTTCCTTAGAATCATTTCATTTCTCATCATTGCATTTCCCATGCTAGATAATATCATTATGATTATTTCGATGATGATTTTTTTTGTTGTGTATTTCAGCTACATTTACTCTCGTATGCATTTTTTCGTGTTATTTCATTCAATTTAATTTACTATTAAAAGTCGTCAACGTTATTGAAATTATTTTTTTTAGACCTAAAGCATTTTTTTTATTACAAAAATCTTTGGTTCGAAAATATACCATTTCAATAGAATTTAAATATGAATTTCATTTTCAGACTTATGACTATAATAGGGTCTTACACGAATTTTTTCACAACAAATATTTCATATGTCACTTGTTTTGATTCAATGTATTTTTATTTAAATTATTATTACAGGTTTCAATGTTTTTCGATCTCATTCTAATATCATGTTTGATGATTATAGCACGATTCAGAATCAATGTTCAATAAACGCACAACTTGAATTAGATTTTCAAGTATAAAATCATACAAAAAATAAATAAATATAAAGAAATAATGAATTATATTATTGGCATTGGCCAATAAAATCATATGGCCAATTTCATGTTGTTATTTTATGTTATAAATATAATACTTGATCTTATCAAAACAGAACCGTTATATAAATTGAAAAGTAAACATTAGCTACCAACAACAGAGACAAATATATACTATATTACTATCTATCTATATGTTGGCTAATGATTAATTTTCACCGATCTCTGTCTTACTCTCTCATATAAACACACTCATCTTTTTCATGTAGAATAAAAAGAAAATTTTTTTTGCTGATTCAGTTTACAAACACTATGACTATAGTAACACCATATGTACATCTCAATCTACAATGAAAATTGTCCAACAAAGATAGATATATAAAGTTTCTATTATTTAAGTCTTTTTTTTCGAACCATTTCAATATACCTTAAAATCGCGACTACCAAAACGCAGATATTTTTTTTCCTTAAATTAACCATAGAGACTATTTATCAGCATTTTTTTTGAATAATACGCGTTTTTTAGTCGCGATTTTAGGGTAACCAAAAATGACCAACTAGTTTTTTTTTCTGTGATGTATTTAATTCAAAAATTAGGCTATCATTCCATCAATGTTCATGTCATATGTGTTTGTTTCGATCAAAGAAAACAATACCGAAGGAAAAAAATCGATTTGTCCACAAAAAAAACATCTATACATTGATAAGATTGTTACAAAGGCTCTTTTCTTTTTTTTTTTTTTTTTGCTTCAGATTACATTCACGTTCTTCAAGTATTTTTGTTTTCTGTTTGTTCATGTCAATCCTCTTATTTGTTGCTTGTATACGCGCGATAATCTCTCTTTGTTGTTAATGCTGATTATGTTGTTGTTGTTGTTCAGGAAAATGAATTCTTCATACAACAAGCCATTATAATTGTCTTTTATTCTATCTTTTTTTTCTCACTGTTATTTTTTTCTCTTTATTTATAAAAATACAAGTTGATTAATTTAAATTCGGATATATTGCCACAATATCGACAAGAAGCACCGAAAACACCGCCACATATATTACTACATTATTGTGCATTCAAAGCCATTTGGTAAGTTTGAAACAAAAATAATAATAATAAATAATAACATTACTGATTAAATTGACATTTGGATTATAAATGAAAAAATAAAAATTTTTTTTTTCATTCGTTATGTCCATAGGGATTGGGTCATATTATGTTTGACGTTTTACACTGCCATAATGGTTCCATATAATGTTGCTTTTAAAAATAAAACTTCCGAAGATGTTAGTCTGCTCGTGCTTGACAGGTTAGTATATTTATTATATATATAAATTTTTTCAATTATCCAATTTTTCAAATGTCATCTGTTAAGTTTTTTTTTTATCAATTAGTAGAGAAAAATTGAAAATTTTTTTTTTAATGCCAAATCTTTAAAACTTTTCATTCGATTGATCATTCTGTATACCAGATAATCTTAGTATTTGTTATTTGTTACAATTAAATATTAAAAAAAAATCTGCACACATAAAAAACTTTTCTTGTTTCCATTTTCCAAGGTTTAACATCCAAAATTTTATTGTTTCATTATTGTACAGGATAATATTTTCTATAAATTCCAAACATTTAAACACAACCAATAATTTAGTTATCTGAAAATTAATAAACACAAACAAAAATATCAATTAACATTCTTTAAAATTCACACACAAACTATAAAAACTAAAACACAGGACACGACAATCTTCATCTTTTGAGATCATCCTGTTTTGAAGGGATTTCATTTGAATAAAATAAAAACTTTTATATATATAAATTTTTCAATTATCCATTTCCCCATCATTACAATACAAAGGATTTATTTATTTATTTTTTTAAATAAAAGCAATAACCACTATCCAAGGTTTCTAACAGATTTGTTCTTTTCTTTTGAATAATTTTTTGTCGTTGTTGTTGTGGAATATGTGATAATGAAAAGGTCACCATTCATTCATGGCAATATAAATGTTGGTATTTATACATACTGTAAATTCCTTTGTTATTGTATTTCAATGCATAGATTTACACAGATGGCATATGGTTGGCGTAAAGACATTAAAAAATAACTAGAACTATAACTATAATACTAGCCATGAAATAAATTTTTTTTTTTTGTTCAACCAAAATCTATAATTGTATTTCGTATACTCAGTAATATATAATGTCGTCATTGATGGAATCTAATCAACAAAATGACCCATGTATGGAAAAACAAGACTATATAAACTCTTTTTCTTTCAAAAATATTTTTTATTATCATTATTATTATTATTATTATTGTTATATGAATGACTCGTGTTGATCATTAACGCGATTATATAATGTCATCAAAACCAATGACGACAACCGTGGATGAAATCTTTTTTTTTATTTCACAAACCACATGTGTGTGTGTATATGTCCGAAGTAATTGATTTGAAAGTAGAAAAAAATCTTTCTTCTAGTTTACGGTTGTCACGGCGTTGTGTTGTTCAGTGCCATTCAGCAAAAAAAAAGTATATTTTTTCTTGGACCGGTTTTTCCACTACGGTACTGAATTTCCTAACGCACACACACACACACGCATACAGGCAAAACCATATAACGTATTTTTAGCTTCAAAAAAAAAAAAATCACAGAATAACCTAATAAAAATTCTATATGATTCCTAAAATTTAAACCTTTTGTGCATGTAAATCCATTATATGAGATCTCGAATTCTATTGTTGGATATATTGACAAGATTGTGGTTGTTGTTAATAGTTAACAAACCGCTGATTGTTAACCGATGATTGTGATGGCCGAAACGGAAATAATATCGTCTATCATGTCCATTTTTCGGAACAATTTGTTTATCTTAGGTGAAAAATTCTGTATGTAAATTTTGTTTGTTTTAACCATAAAACTTGGTGATTTTTTTTTCTATTGAAAAAAAAGATTTTTAATGATAAATGTGAATAAATTTTCGTCAACAAACTCACTAACGTTAGTTTTTCAAGAACCAAAAAAAAAAAAAAAAAAACAGAAAAAATGAAACTCTTACTGAAATAAAATAAGAAATAAAACAAACACTATTAATATCAATGAGAATCCATAGACTATTTGGTGTCACTTTTTTTGAAAAAAAAATTGGTTTTCCATTTTTTTCTACTCATTTTGAACATACACTCACACATCTTTGTTTTTTCATAGAAGAAACCGAGAATATTTTCAACAACCAAAAATGTAAACATTGAATGAATAATTTAATTATAATTTTTTCCCGTTGTTTTTTGTTGTCTCTTTTTACTTTTTCAATTTCAATTCCATTTGTGTCATGATTAAAATTTGAAATTAAATAACATAAAAACTTAACGCCCAGAAGAATATATCCAGGCCAAAGTTTTTTTATTATTATTATTATTAAATTATAAAGATATGAGCCTGAATGAGAGATTTTCTACTGGTTTCTAGGACAAATGTTTTCTTTTCATTTTTGTTGGAATTTGAAATTTCCATCGTTTGATTCTCTAATTCGGTTTATTCTGCATTTAATTCTACATGGCTCATTAATTTCATTTTTTTTTTTTTTCTTTTTATAAGATTTTTTATTTATTTATTTGGTTGTCTTGATGAGAATCAGCCTTGAATCAGTAACCAAGAATTTATTTTCAAAGTTTTCATTTTATCCAAAATTATATTTGTATTTTTATCAATTCAAATCAACATCCAATCTAATCTCATTTATTTTGTCTCATGTTCATTTTTTTTATAGCATCGTTGATGTGATATTTTTTATTGATATTGTGCTCAATTTTCACACAACATTCGTCGGACCTGGTGGCGAAGTAGTTTCAGATCCGAAAATTATTCGTGTCAATTATCTCAGGAGTTGGTTCATTATTGATCTACTTTCATGTCTGCCTTATGATATATTTAATGCATTCGATCATACTGAAGATGTAAGTTTTCATGTCATTTAATTAAAATCATTTAATTTTTTCTCTTTTGTTTTTTTTTTAAACACAGCAAGGTATCGGCAGTTTATTTAGCGCCTTAAAAGTAGTTCGCCTATTACGACTTGGCCGTGTTGTGAGAAAACTGGACCGTTACCTTGAATATGGTATGTTTAGATTTTTTTTTCTAAGAAAAATATCTTTCTCAAACCACAATGGTTTGATGCATGAATGGATGCATTAAATCAAGCTTAAAACAAAAACAATTTTCAAACCATAAATTTTACCGATCAACAACGTTATCGGATATATATTGGTTGTCATCAACGACATGATCGGCACTGTCTAAAAATTCTTTTATTCTTTGAAAATGTAATGCACATGTATTCTGGATCTGTCTGGGATTTTTTTTTGGCTTGCTCACTTAATACACACGTACCATATATATACTTATTATTAAATCTGGAATTCTGTAATACACGATGTAAGATTTTAAATTTATTTCTAGCCTGGTGAAAGCATCCTAAATTTTTTTTCTTATTATTACATACACACACATATGCGTGTATTTTGTGGCATACTTGTTTATGCTTGAATAACGAATAATTTCCGTTAGGACGACCGATATTTAATGATGATGATAATGATGACAACAACAAACGTGTCATGCACTAACTTGAATATTTGATCGCAAAGTGGATATTCTCTGTTGGGCATGCTAAACAAGCATGAACGAGAATAAAGAATAATAAAATTGAACCACTATTATTAAACGACAACGGTTTATGGTATCGGGATGTGTGTAGCAAACTGAGCAACCGAAATTTTTTTTTCTAGTCAAATGATTGATAAGTTGGAAATTGAGAATTAGTTGCAGTTCTTCATTCGCTGAACGAAAATAGGTTTTTTCATTTTCCTGTTACAAGCGGTTGATTATTATTGCTCAATATGATTTCACCATCATTTTTTGTTCAATATTTGATAGCATTTTCTCTAATTTTTTTTCTCGTTTGTTTGAATTAAAAAATTGACTTCATAAAATTTTTTAAACCAGGAACCGGAAACACGAAAAAGAACTAGAATAACAAAATCCTTTTGCAGAATTTTTCCGAGAAAAAAATTTTCAATTTCTATTCATTGATTGTAAAATTGAAAATAATCATCATTTCATGTTTCTTTATTCAAAAAATCGATTATCAATACAGATGCTGCATAAGATAAACTAATATTATGAAATTTTAAACCTCAGACATCAGACAAAAATAAATCAGAAAGGTTCAACGTTTGGTTAGTTTCCAATGATGATGTTGATAATAATGGACGTCATGAACAGAATTTTTCAAATGCACAAATTTGTTCTTGTTGTTCATTTATTCTCAAAACCAATTCAAAATCATTGCCTGACATTGACGTGAAATACTTCTGTATATGTCGTTTGTATACTCACTCTACATGTATTTGAATGAAAAAAAGGTCAACCCAAATAGGATAACCGTTAAACCGCCTTTGATACGCCTTTAGCTTTGGGCTTTTTTCTCTGTCGACATCGAAAATTCATTGAAAATGATTGATATTCAGTCAAGCGAGAATGGAAATAAAAATGAGAGAAAAACAACAAGACTGATTCAGAGGTTTGCTCCAGGAATCCATCAGCGAAATGATTTTTGAATCAGATTGAAAATAAAAACGGTCTTGATTCAAAATTCTAATATATACGCCCGATAATGCATATATGATGATAACATGCTTGCTTTTTTAGATGAAATAGTTTTTTTTAATTCGTTTCACTCGATATTAACAGAAAATTAGCATTTCAAAAAAAAATTTTTGGTGATTTCGTTTTTATGGCTACAAAACACATGGTCATCATCATAGATTTGGGCGATCTGAGTTTTTGTCATTTGTTTGCCATAATTTTCATTATTATGTCGTTAAAAATTCCACAATTTAGAATTCCAGTATATTTCTGGAATTTTATTGGAATTCTGTTTTGTTCGTTGTTATTACGTTTGATAACAAGAACGAAAAAAAATTCCATGACAATCGGAATGATGTTTTTTTTTTTTGATCATATATGTTGTTATTGATAATTTTAATGAATACAATTTTTTTTCCTGATTCTCCATAGGTGCTGCAATGCTCATTTTGTTACTTTGTTTTTACATGTTAGTCGCCCATTGGCTTGCATGTATTTGGTATAGTATTGGTCGTAGCGATTCGGAAAACTACCTCACATATAGTTGGCTATGGAAATTGGGCAATGTTACACAGGTTTGTTGTTTACACATACACACACACACAATTGTTATTTTTTTTATTCATTCAAATATCGATTATTAATGGTCGTTTTTTATTCCTTTCATACAGGTATGTCATCACTTTTATTATCTTGCATATGAAACAACAACAAAAAATCGTTATTGATAACTCAAAAGAATTGTTGAGAAACTAAATAATGGAACAAGCACAATATTAGTCCTGTTTCAGTTTTATATTCGGGATTAATAAAAAAAAATTTGCACTGAATATAACAACAAAATATCGAAAAATAGAAACATCATCATGTCAGAAAAAAAAGATCATCCATAAAAATAAAACGAATGAAAAACGATCGATGGAATTTGTTTGATTCATCCTCAACAACAAAAACAAAAACAGCAGCAACAACAACCAATGAGATAGATTATTGAATACAAAAAAAAATAAAGAAGAATATTCTATAAGAAGATTATCGATAAAGTGACAGGAAAAAAATGGGACCTATGCTGTAATTATCATCATTCGTTCTCATTGATGTTGTTGTTTTTGTCCCATTACTAAAACTATTTATCGATATTTAATTATTTGTCTTCTACATTTCAACTTTGTATATCTAATCACATTTACATCAATAGTCACTATTAGACAATAGCTTGATTATATTGATCATGACGATGACAATGATGATGTGTGATGAAATATTTTTCCAATTAATCACTTTTCCATTCGCTTTAGTTATTTTGTTGCCATTATTTTTGGGTTAGAAAAAGAAATTTTGTTCTATAATCATTCTATCTTTTTTTTGACATATAACAAAAGCGAACATATAATTTGAATCATATTTAATCGCATCGGATATTATGATAATACAATTTTTTTTCACTGTTAGTAATCATTTATGGTGTCCTAAAATTCATCACCATACAAGGAAATGGTCACTTTGTTTTTATTTTACAAATCGAAAAAAAATTGAACACAATTTTTGTATGCCATATCATACCAATAGATTTCCATAGTTATGATAATGAGGTAGCCATTCTATGGCCGTCGTTTTCATATATAAAATTTATTGTCAATATTTATTCATTCAATCTGTTTCATGAATTTGGAAAAGCAGAAAAAGTGTTTTTCATGAAAATCTAGATTCTATAGAATAAATAAAGAGAGAGATATAGATCTTTGAATATGTATCTGAAGCGCTCACTATGTACGTATGTAATGTAACAACAGAATCGAATTCTCAATTGGGAATTGTCGTTGAAATTTTTCTTTTATGATACTGTTTCATTTTTTTTTAAAAAAAACGTCTTCCATGAAACATAGAGATGTGTTTTTGTTTTCTTTGCGGGTTTGTTTTCTTTTTGTTTCAACATCCCAAAATGAATTCAATTTTAGTGAATCTGGAAAAATAGAATTGAATGGAATGGCAAAAAAATCTGAATTTCAACAAGATTTTTTTTTCTTTCTTGCTTGAATTCAGTAATACTGATATATTGAATCTTTCATTTTTATTTCCATTTCATTCGGAATTTATCACATAAGCGATTTATGATGATTATGAGGAAAAAAAATTTCTATCTCTTGGTAGGATTTATTCAAATCTATCGATACATGGGCCATGATCTGATTCTGAGGCCAAATAGCGTTATAAATCCCGTATATCCATAAGGTAATAATTACATTAAAATGAACGAATGATTCCAATGAGATTTTATTTTTATCAAAACCATATATATCTTCATGACAATGAATATGAGAGATTCGCTTTCCCTTTTCCTCATTATCAATTTGTTTTACAATGAAAATGACAATTTAAGATAGTATTCATTGAATATGTTCAACATTTCAATATTTCATCTATTTTTTCTATTTATAATTTAATTCAATATATAGTTTCCATTTCATCTGAGGCCCAATAATATTACAGCTCGTGTCGAGCTTGAAGGTGGACCAGAACGATCAACAATGTATATAACATCATTATATTTTACAATGACCTGTATGACCAGTGTTGGTTTTGGTAATGTTGCGCCTGAAACTGATAATGAAAAAATCTTTACCATTTGTATGATGGTCATTGGAGGTATGTATTACAATTTTTATTATTCAAATGGAAAAATATTTTATTCATACATGTTCATACTCAAATTAGATTTTTTCCTTATTTTTCATCATTTTTCATTTTTTTATCATTTAGATTCAAAACACACATATTTAGGCATATATACAATAGTTTTTCATTATTTTTTTCCTTATATTCACCAAATAAAATATTTTCATATAGCACTGAAATCGAATCAGTATTTTAATTTTGTTTGGCTTTCTATTCAGATATGCATTCAATGAATGAATGTTTGAACGTTTGGGCAAACATTGAACCGACAGAAAATTTTTTAATTTCCGTTTTGTTTGGTTATATCCTTTTTCTGAAAGATGCTACTAAATCTTAGAACTAAAAATAATTGGAATCGAATTGATTTTTTTTCGGGAATTTGTACGGAAACGAATAGCCGTTAGGAAATTCTGGTTTTAATGTTTTCATCGCTTTGGCCATTGACATTCATCATTTATTTTTGTTTGAGAGTAGAGCAGTGTGATGGAAAAATCTAGAGAGCAATACTCAACGCCTATAGAATTTTGTCAAAAAATTGGGCAAACATTCTTAAATTTCCTTTTTCTTGATGATGTCGATGTTTTAGCAAATGAAATGATTGATAATTTATGTAAAATAATTGATTTATCTTAATAGTAATTACAGTAGTATGACAGATTTTGTATAGCGAGAATCATTAGTTTGTTTAAACCATTATGATCATTATCTCTTATTCATGATTTTGAATTTGTTTGGAAATAAACCAATAATAACTCATCTTGACTCATTTGATTATGATTAATTGCCTTTTACTTATTGCTATTGTTATTCTTTTCTATATTGTATAATTTGTATAAATCGACTGGATCACTTGCCGATTTGATCAAAAGCCCTATTGTATGCAACGATATTTGGTCATGTAACGACCATCATACAACAGATGACCAGTGCCACAGCCAAATATCATGATATGTTGAACAATGTTCGAGAATTCATGAAACTACACGAGCTTCCAAAAGCATTAAGTGAACGTGTCATGGACTATGTAGTGTCCACATGGGCTATGAGTAAAGGAATTGATACGAAAAAAGTATTAAGCTATTGTCCTAAAGATATGACCGCCGATATTTGTGTCCATCTTAACCGGAAAGTGTTCAATGAACATCCTGCATTTCGATTAGCCAGTGATGGTTGTTTACGCGCAATGGCCATGTATTTCTCTATGGATCATAGTGCACCCGGTGATTTATTATATCATGTTGGTGAATCAATCGATTCATTGTGTTTCGTCATTTCCGGATCATTGGAAGTGATTCAAGATGTAAGTGCAATTTTTTTATTTTTCTTTAACCCTTTTCCATACAACTTTTTACAATCAATTCCATTGTTATAGTTACGATGGTCATCTGAATCAAACTGATAATTTAAATCTACTTTTTTTTTTATCATTTTTCATTCCTATTTTTTTTCGGTTCATGAAAAGTTTTTCGATCATTTATTTTTTCTCGGTTATTTTTTTATTAATATCGATGCAAACTTTTAACAAACCCGAACTTTTTTTTGCCATTTATTTATTTTCTTGATCGATTTCTTATTTTTTCCACAACATGATCCAATTTATTTCAACATTTAGAATTTTACTTGCATAGTCGATATCATGATCTCGATCATGTAAACATTTACTGCAAAAAGATTCCGTGATATGTCCATAATTTTTTTTCTATTTTTTCTTTGGCCATATTGTAACAGTGAATTTCTTTGCTTTAATAATTCACGCATCGATAACTGAATCATTTTTTTTTTGGTATCAAAATTGATATTTGTTGTATAGCAGGATTTTTTTCCTTTGTGTTTTTTAATTACAAAACACTCGAATCAATTGTTCAAATTTTTCTTGTTTCATTTTTTTTCAAACTAGGACGAAGTGGTTGCCATTCTGGGTAAAGGCGATGTATTTGGCGATGCATTCTGGAAAGAGCCAACCATAGGACAGTCATGTGCCAATGTTCGAGCTTTAACATATTGCGATCTACATGCAATCAAACGTGACAAATTAATCGAAGTACTCAATTTTTATCAAGCATTTGCAAATTCATTTGCAAGAAATCTAGTGCTCACTTATAATCTCAGACATCGGGTATGATGATAATAATAAAAATGATGTTAATTTCATAGATTTTTTCTTATAATTATTTTGTTGTTTTAACCGTCAAAATTAGTTAATTTTCCGTAAAGTTGCCGATATAAAACGTGAACAAGAATTAGCTGAAAAACGAAAAAATGATCCACAATTAGATTTAGCTCAAGATCATCTTGTAAGAAAAATATTTTCTAAATTTCGTAAACCTTCCGATGGAGTGCCTTCAACTGGTATACCTAGTCGTCCCGGTTCAAGTGCCCCAAATTCAGCCGATATTGAAAAAGGCTCTGATGGTAAAACAAAACAGCCTCAATCAGAACCTGAATCAAGAGTTGCTTCAGCGTTCAAAGGATCAAAATGGGCTGCTGCATTAGGTCGTGATTCTAGTAATATAAGTCGTGATGCTGAAAAAAAAGCACACGAAGTGGAAAACGCATTGTTTGATCGTGACGATCATAATTTAAATCTGTCAAGAAAAACGGAATTAGTTTGCAAAAAATCTGAACATATACAAGTAGTCAAAGATATTCGTCCACCAACACAGGGCAATAAATGGCCACGAGTTGCTACAGGAGGTAGTGTACGACACGAAACAATTGAAGAAACGGCTGAAGATGAACAAAAAAACAAAACTGGTACCGAGACTGCCGATTCGAATAAAATATTGGTCCAACCAAAAAGTATAAATAGTGCCGATTATCAACAAATTGTGGCCACATTAGTTGATATGCGTATTGATCTGAAATTAGAGATGCAAAAACTTACGAACAAGATTGGAAAGATTGATGAACACATATCGAATATAACTAAAAAATTATCCACATTGAATATCGATGTTGATGATCATCATTCACCATCAACAGATGCAACAGCCACTAATTTAATATCTAGCACATCATTTTCTGCTCAAACAAAAAATTCTATCAAATCGTTCTCTACGATGGGCCAGAATAGTACGATCGAAGAGGTCGATGAAGAAGCTGTGACAACACCAACATCACCACGATTTTCAGCAACATTAAAACGGATCGATTCGAGTACAAGTAAGACTGCAACAGTAACTGGCAAAGATCATAAAGGATTGACCACAGCGACTATTAGTGGTCAACAACAACAACAACGATCATCTACCCATCATCGTGGTAAAGTTAGCTTGGTAACTGCTGGTGTCAAAAAACATGGTAAATCTAAATCTCATCATCAACCAACATCGGGAGATCCTAGTGCTGGTGGTGGTGGCGATAATGATGACCAAAAGCAGCAACAAAAGAAATTATTAGCTGATGATGATATGCGTGCAATATTGGAAAATGAAATCGCACAACAAGACTTGGATAATACTGATGAAGATCAAGATATGACAAGTAAACTATAGCTGCAAATTCAATTTGTCTACCAAATAAAAAATGCTTTTCATTTTGTAATCTTTGCCTTCTTTAATAATATATAATTAATGATTTTTCAATCTCAAGAGCCATCACATCAGCATCTTCGATCGATTTCCATTGATCTTTATATATAACAAACAGACATTCAATTTTTTTCAAAAGATTTTAAATATAATCATCATATTTACTCATCATCACCATTCAATCACAACACACACGATTATTATATCAAATCTCACACGAAAAGAATTCCAAATCGACATTCAATATAATCGGAAATTATTTTGTGAGCCGTGTTCGTGTTCAGTATTCCAACAATAAGAATAACAATATTTTATCATTTCTTTTTTTTTTTTTGAGCGAAAAGCCGTTAAACTCAACTTTGACCACTTTCATCATCATTATCATCAACCGAATGTGCATCTGGTCCAAACCGAATTTTTATCCCATTATGAATAAATTGTTTTTTCTCTCTTTGTTTCTTTATTATCTCTCTCTCACACACACACACACACACATACATGCTGTCAGCTCCGTCTTTCACAAACAAACACATAAATACACAAAAATTCATAAGCTTCAAACATTGTTAATAATTTCATTTTTTATTTTAAAAAAATAAATTTTAGCTCTAGTCATATCTGTTCATACGCAACACAAATAACCATTTTATGATCTCTCTTATTCTATTGTGATTTGTGATCCACAACTCATGTTTCTTTATCTTTTTTTCCTCAAATGATGCATTGTATTGAAATGTTTTTTTTTGTAATCAAATAATAAACTTGATACTTTTATCACAAATCTTGGTTTTAAGTTTAACAAATTAATACAAATGAAAAAAATTGTATAACATGAATTTTAATGATTGATTGTATGAAAATGAATTAAACATATCAAAACAAAAATTAAACAGCATCTCCTTTTGGATGAACAAATCCTTTCTCAATAATCAATGATTTCGAAACATCAACATTAGTAACATTGATTGAACTGTCGGAAATTTGGCCAACAGTTGTGATTGGTTTGTTTGACATGGATGTAACAGCAACACTAGGTTCATTCTGATTTACCGACGATGTAGTCGTTGATGGTGTTTGATTGATTGAATTCTGTAGCAAACATAATACGTTTTTCGGTGTGACTAGATTAGATGAAGTATTATGCATGGCTTCCTCATCATTCCTGTTAATATTTCTTTTTTTCAAGTACTGACTATAATTGGAAATTTGAACAATTTGTGATTGTGAGGATACGATCAAAGAGCCTTTGGCATCTTTCGAATCTTCGATACCTGTTGATACAATGGACAAATAAATAAATAGTTCAAGTAAAATTAGACAAGAAATTACCTCGATCACTTGATTCACTTTTAGTCAGACGAACAGAGGCGAAATTCATTTCGGGAACATTACCGCTACTACCGGTACATACTTCATTGCAACGATTACGGATTCTATTAAAAAAGCATGGAAATTTAATTATAAGATGAAATGAAACTAAAATTTTCATTACTTATTGAAAAATCCAACAATAGCTCGTTTAAACATTGAAAAACTGAGCGATGGTCCGATTATTTGATTAAGAGGAGTAGATGTCTCCGAAAACGAAGTTGTTAAGGGAGAAACATAGATGGGATAGCCAATCGGTTGATCACAGGATGAATTGATTATATTACGCAACACTTGTTTAGCATTCTGTATAGAACCTCGTTCAGGATTTCGATTTCTATATTGAAATGATATGAAATTAATTATTAACAAATTATGATGACAAATTGAGCTGTATACCGTAAAAAGATAAGCTCCTGTTGTTGTCCGGCCCAAAGACCTCTAACGCATTCGCGATTTATCTAAATTAGAATGGAATATTAAAATTTGAAGTAATTTCATATGGTTTTGCAGCTTACTTTGATTATGCGAAAATTCAAGAATCTTTTGTTGAGCATGATCACTTTATACTGATCGGTACCTTCGTCAAAAACATGACGTAAAGCCAATAATGATGGTACATTCGATAATATGGCTTTACGCCAAATAGGATCGGCTTCGTGTGAGATAACAATTGATTTATGGTATTGTGTGATAGCATCGAATAATGTTTTCGGATGTTCATAAATATATTCTTCATAGAATTGATCTTGATGAAGCTTCAACGACATCCGGATACTTGGTGATACTACTTTGTCAAGAAAATCAATGTCCTGAAATACCCATTCATCACGTGAACAATGAATACGAAAATCTCCCTTGAACAAAGCATGAAAACCATAAAGAAAAAATTCTACATTCATTAAGGCTGAATTATGATGTGATGCAGTTCCGAGTGCTCGCCGACCAAGCAAACTTAAACCCATACATAATGATAAAGCTGATTCTTCATTGTTACGAACACTTTCTGACTGAGAAGGATGAACACCGTTTATGATACAATAATTAATCCAATCAAAATATGTGGCATGAAAACTCGAGCGAGTTATACCAGATTCCATAACATCATAATCTTCATCAATATTGTAATTAAATGTAGGATCAAGATCAACAAAATCTTTTTCATTCAAATAGCTGAGTGATTGTTTAATGTCTTCATTTTCGATCCATTTAACAAAGTTTTCGTTTGTGACGACAAAATAGATGATAGATTTAACATAATAAGTGATCAGTGCTTTACGAAGATCATATGGCTGAAGAATGGTGGATGCAATATGTTCCGATATAGAATAGCCTTCAAGTACATAGTTTGTATGTGTAACTTCCCACGATAGCCAACGTTGATTGAAAGCTGCATTGATCGATAAGACGCCATTTACACAAATCGATTCACAGCAACAGCAGCCATCAAAATCACTGACATTTTCTGTGATGGCTTCAACTTCACGTTGTTGACAATATGTACCGCGGAATTCCAAGCCACGAACTTGAAAGTAACGAAGCCATTGCCTAATTCAATAATATGAACTAAACAATTTAGATTATCACTTGCCAGAACAAAACAATCGCCTTGTGATACATCGCCCCAACGGCCTAATATCAGATCCCCATATAATGAATGTTGTAATGAACGGGTAAGATGTTCATAGAAAATTGAATTCAAATTATTATCATCGGAACCAATTTGAGCTTTGTCGATCTGAGATGCAAGTCTGGTATTTGAATGATCTACACGTTTTGTACTGATTAATGAATAGATTAAATCGACGAAAGACAATATATACAAATTAATTTTACTAACTTGTAATCACGTTCCCAAAATTTTATCGGCCTTACGTATGATGTGAAAAATATTGCACTACCAAGAATTGGTTGAAGAGGTGCTGAAAGCAATGATGAAACAAATATTTGAACCATTAGTAGAGCAGAATCTAGAAAGCAATAACATTGAATAATTTCAATAAAAACACGGGTTTTTCAACAACATACGAGGTACACTGAATGGCTGAGCAAAAGCATGGAATGCCGAGCCCCAGGTTATCTGCCATGGAGCAACATAAGTGATGACAAAACGAAATTTGAGCAAAAAATCGGTAATCTAGATTTGTAAATAGTTAAATGTAATGAGTAATGAACAAATAAAATTATTATTTTAGCAAATACCTTGTAGTAGATAAATGACATGATGAAAAAATTCATAAGGAATATATTGTCATGATTGTTTATAAATATTCGAAAATCATAATAAAAAAACAAATGTGTGAATATAACGATTATATAATTGTTTGATGGATCATTGAATGAACTTCGCAAACACTTGAATCCGAAAATGACCAATAACAACATGCCAACATTATTACCATAATTTTTGATCAACAATGGACAATCGGTGGTAATGTATGATAAAAATAGTAATGGATAAAGAATGTTCTTTTCAATTAACCATAGCCAAGCTTGTAATTTTTCGAACCACATATTTTTGGCCGGTTCTTGTACTTCGAATTTTTTATATTCAGCTGATTTACAGATTGGACTCGAAAACAATAACCATGGTAATTGTTTACGGAATTGTGGTATAAGATAATGAACGATAAAACTCCAATATACAGCCAAACCGGTTATGTAATCATTGAAATATGGCTGCAATTTGAATATCGAACTTACATGAACACTGAACACGCTAATCGTGACAAATATACAGGTGATAAAATCGGATTCAAAACGTGAACAGGCAACTTTTTTCAATTTTTCTGGCAATGGATCAATTAATACATCATTTGATTTTTTCATCATCATCGAGGTAGCAATATGTTTATCTGTATCGCTACGATTCAAATTTGTAGAATTTGATTTAGATTTTGAATTGGTTATTAAACTGATGAAGAAATTCTTGATAGTCATGAGGAATTCATAGATTACATTCCATAATAATGATGGATCACTTGAAGAACGACTAAGTAGGTAACTCATGGCAGCTAGTATTCCACAGAACACAGAAAAAGTTGTTCGTTGTGTTTCTCTCAGATTCAATAGATGAGCGCACAAATAAAGAAAGGCGATAGCCAGAATACTTCGAGAGATTGAATATATAGCCGATATCATTCCCATGGTAGATGCTGTACCGCCAAACAAATGTATATCGATATGTTCAAATATGTACATTACAAAAGTATTGCATTGAGGTAATAAGCCAAACATGAACAATAAAGGAAATATCAATATAAATGTTTGTGCAATATTGCTGATTGTCAAGAACAAATCACGGTTAATTAGATTGAAACCATACATTTCAAAATGAATATTCTCCATTCGTGGTGAGTAGTTATTGTAACAATCATTTGATAAAAGAATGATTGCACTGACCAAACAGAAATAGATTGGACGGCTATAGATGGCTATCCTGTTGAAACCATGTGTAGGTGATGCAGCGTCCGGTTGTACACTCTAGAAAATAAAGAAATTATTCACGATAAACAAGATAATATTCTATAACAATAGTAACGAACCTTTAACAATGTATAATGAGAGCCAGCAACGACAAAACAAAAGACAAACAAACGAATATCATGGAAAAATTCTTTATTCAACAGAATAGCTGTAAACACTGCAACTGCGATGGACAACAATATCGAACATATCAATTCACAGGTAGTAATATTACGGTCCAAAAAGGCCAACAATGCTAATCGATCAAATCGAATTTTCACCGTTTTGATTTTCAATAAGTTCACTTCATAATAGTAGGCAGGTTTCAATTGTTGTTGTGATCGTTGAAATGAATGTGAAAAGGATTGATTATTTAATGAGCTTATGAAATCTGAAGCGATCGATAGTGCGAAACCTCTTGATGCGTCAGAGTTTGGATCAAACACTAAAAAATAACATTTGAGTAAAGATTCGATTGAACTAAATGAGCAACACTTACTTGAAATTGGATCAAAATACATTTGTCGTTGATTTGTTTGAATTGAATCTGGTGTCTGCGATGAATGATTATTATTGAATAGAAACAAGTTGTCCAATTTATTTATATCACGAATCGTTGTGATCGAATCAATATTATTGTTATTATTATTATTCGAATTTACACTAAGATCTAAAAGAGGATTGTTGAGATAGAAAATTGAAGTAGAAGGTATCAATGCATTACTAGATTTGAATTTTTCATTTGGATTATCCATCATCGGCATCGCAGTGTGCGTCTGTGTTGTTGTTGAGGTAGCTGTCGATGAAAGTTTAGTAAACGGATTCGGAGGACATAATCCTTTAGCTAATCCTGTGCTATTCTCATCGAATGTATATGTAAACCAATTTCCGTGTTCATCTTGAAACACGTGTACAGCACCAACCGTCGTATCTTCATGTGATGTGGCAAAATGAGTACCGGGAGTTGTAAGGATTTCGTTGATAATATTGGGTGAATTACTTGAACATACGATCGAATTTTTCGATGATTCACCATCACGAATCGAATTTGAACGGGAATAAGTCTTTGACTCTGGATCATTCAAGCGGGATCCTAATTCGCCATAATCATTGAAAGCTTTCATTGACGTTGAATTATTATTATCACATGCAGCAATAGACCGTAGTTGAGCCCGTAAATTCTTAGATTTATTTTGCAAATTCAAAGATGATAAATTTTCATCTGCTACACAATCACATGTTGTTTGATATTTTTGAGCTTTAGATGAAGATGATGGGTATTTGTTTCGAAATCTTTTTCGTTCCACAATTCGATGAGAGATGCCCGATGATGTAGATGGATAGTTTATAGGGTAGACAACATTGGACGGATCAAAGTTTTCATGCTTGATGCCATCACCACTGATCATCGATAAGGGTGAACTAGATGATGAAGAAGGAAATGATGATGAATCTGAATGACGATGATATAATTGAAAACGATTTGACAATGGCCGAACAGTGCCAGCAGCGGTCTTTGTTTCATTATCATCTTCATCCGAAGTGTTCAACAGAACCATACTTGGTTTTATGCGATTTCGTCTATCTAATTCATGATAAATGCTTTTATGGGTCCAGTCGGAACGGCCACTAGTAGTCGAGGATTTGGAACGTTTTCGGGAGCTGTTTGACGAAAACCGAGTCTTACGCATCGGTTGTTTGGACATTTTTTTCGCCGATATTGTTGTTAGGACAGTTGTTTTAATTGCTTTGACTGAATCATTCGTACACAATGATATTTCACTTTCATCACCATCTTCGCTTGAATCACAATCTTTTTTAATATAGGCACTGCTACAAGTTGTAGATAATTGTTTTTCATTTTGATTCTCTTCGATACGACTCATTTTGTTTGTTATGCCTGTTTCTTCTGATTGAAATGATTTCAACGACTTTTGATGATATTTCGAACTTCTAACCATTTCCTGGTTAGCGTCTTTAGTGTTGAATTTACTTTTATCTAACGGAACGGACTTATCTACACTGTCCGTTTTTGAATTGATTATTTCCAGGCTGACAGGGTGTGATGGAGGCATGGCCAATGTTCGTGAATGTTCTGATCGTTTAATTGTTTCAATTTCACTTCGTGCACGCCGAAACGTGTGCATTTGTTGTTGCTCACATTTGTTTATATTTTCCAATATGCCAATTGAATTGTTCGAGGAATTGCCTTTATTATATATTGCTGTTATGTTTGATAATGATGTATCAGATGTAACAACTGGAGTCACTTTTATTGCTTCATTTGATATTTTTCGAGGTAATTCTTTTTGTTCATTCGAATCAACATATGGTTCATCTTCACTTTTAAACAACAATGATAGATTACCGAAAGAGGAATCCGATTCGTTATGATGAACATCGGCTTTCAGATCGATTGTCTTTGATGTGATTTCATTGGAACAATTATCATCGGTTGCTTCGATTCGTTTCTTTATCGAATCCATATCGTTAACTATTTTATTGGAGTTAATATTTTCCTCTTTCTTTGATGGTCGATCATTATTTATTTGTGAATTATTCGAAATTGTAACCATTTCTAGAGTTTCTTTTTCCCCACTCACCGATTCGGCATCACCATTGTTAATTAAATAATTCGTAACAGGATCTTGAAAAGATGATGCAGTTTCATCTTTAATACATTTGCCAGTATCGAAAACTCGATGGAAATATTCATTGATCGATTTGATAACTATGAATGCGAGTGCAATAAATAAACAATATAGCATCCATGATATCCATGTATTGAGAAAAATATAATTAACGAATGGAAAGCACAAGAATATGAGCCATATGTACAGATGGAATAGATTGGAGAAATGTGATTGTTTTTTATCATAATACCAGCCACCGGTTAATGATGCCCAAACACCTTCTGTCAGTATGGATACGGCTTGTAAGCCCATCATATCAATTCAATCATCCAAATGGAATTAATTGCCTAAGGAAAAAAAACTAGAGATACAAAAGGAATTTCGATAAGGTAAAATGAGTAACGAAACCAACCTGTAGATGATTGATGATTATAAATTCGTTTTGGACATAATGCACTTGTAGCATTAAATTATATCACAGATGATAGCCGTTGAAATAAAATTGTTGCCAAACAAAAATGGTTTTTATTCTTTTTTATCAATATATTTATTAATTATGTTGATTTGACGACGGTTGACAACAACAACAACAACAACAACAACCAAACCATAAAATCAAAATACAAGAAAATTTCCCAGTATTCTTGATGCGAGCTCAAATTCCAGAATCTTCCCTTGAATACTGCAGCATGTTCACATGGCATGCATGCATTCAACCACATTGTCTTTCCGTTAACAGCCAGTTAATTTTTGTTCTCGTCTTTGTTCAGGTAAAATCATGTTTTAAATAAATAAATTAATAGTTTAAGATTGAAAAATTTTTAATGATGAAACCTTGGAGATATGAGTAATTCTAATGATTACATATAACTTCCTTGGATGTCTGATATTTAGAATAACCTTTAATATAAAACTAAATATTTTTGATCATTCTTGGTACATAACTTAATGAATTTTTTTTCACTCTTTTGTCACAGTAAATCTCAAACGAAAAACTTTATCTAAAATCCTTCACTATAATACAAAAATGATGGGTAAGTTTAACTTTTAAGTTGGTAGTTTATTTTTATTTAGAAATTATTATAAATGATGATGTATACATGACTCCAATTGATCCTAATGAATTTGTTATTGAAATAATGAAATTAAATGAATTTGTTTAATTACTGATTTTATTCCATTGATTATCATGATCATTAACACTTTATTGGAAATTCTTAAACTGAAATTTTTTTTTCTTTTTATCTTGAATACAGGCTATTAATAAATCGTTTTATTGGTATTTGATTGACAATTTTTAAGAAATTCTTGGCCTTTATAATAAATGGAATGATTGTTACAAATAAATAAAATGTTTTTTTTTTCATTATCAAATTTCACTAAAAAAATTTCAACGCCTACGATATATATTTTATAAATGGCCAATTTGGATTGATTCAATGTCAATAGTATTTTCAATTTGAAGTCGATTAATTACTAACTAGAATGTAATTAAATGTTTCTATCATCAATATACATTCGTTTTAAAAATCAGTTAACTGTTATGGCCAATAATAATATACATCCTACGATTTAAATGCTATTGTATTGGAATCTATATTAAGATTTTCTTGTTTTATGATCGATCCTGTTTTGGTAATTTTCCATCATTGTTATCATTGTAAATTCGTCATTGGTGCTGAAATGACGACATTCAATTCCACCATATGAACTACCATTTCTGGATATGTTTGATTCATTTGTTTGTTTTGTTCATTTTCGATATTACTCAATGTATCCTATAGGTGGATCTATTGTATTAATTTAAATTCGAACAAATAATAAAATAAAAATTTCATTCGTCACTCAAACAAAACAATGTTTATTTGATTTGAATACCGAAAGAGCTGTATCCTTACCATAATGTTCTCGATGACCATTTGTGGTCACCGAAAATTTCTCGATGATATGAAAAAAAAATCATCTTTAATGTTTGTTTATGTGTATGTTTACTCATTTACAATCAACGTGTAATGATGGTCTACGACAGCCTACGCTATTTTCCAGATCATCATTTTACCGCAATATTAGGAACATAAAAAATAATGAACGACAATGACCATATAATTCGCCTTGATTTCTATGTTGTATTCACATCAACATACATCGTACATATGAAATTGAAAAGAGAAAGAGGTTATAGACAATCGTTCCAAAAGCAAAGGAATAAACAGCAATGTAACACGGGTCTGTATAGCTCGAACGATTCGTTAATCGACCAAGCAGCAGGTGCTTACCTTAATGATTTATTTTTTCGTTCATGTTATGAATTTACGTGTTTGTATTTACAAATGAATGATTTAGTTGACCGATTGACTAAATTGAATGACCAAACTTATTGAAGAGGATTCACGGTGCCACAACAAAAGTCTTCATTATAAGTGACTATTATGATTCCACCGAGATTTGAATTTTTAATTGTGTTTAATAAGATTAGATGAAAAATAAGCACTGGATTAATCGAATGGGAAATTGTCCGCTCACATTTTGTCCGCCGTCGGATAATCGTCGTGATGGTCATTATCGATTTCGTCCATATAAACCATCGCCAGATGATTGGGCAAGTACGGGCCGTTATGCTGCTGAAACGCCAAGTAATTTGAATTGTATACATGTATTATGAATAATATGTTTCTCTGTGATGTTTGATAGATGCTGGCGATCTAGTCGTTCATAGTGTGAATTTTTTAATTAATAACAATTCTCGTCTTCACAAGACGGACAAATATTTTCTCAGCCGTCGTTCAATCAGTCCGAAATTAATTGTTCGTCGTGGTCAGCCATTCGAATTACGAATCACGTTTGAACGTCGATTTCGTTATAGCGAAGATGTCGTCAGTTTCGTTTTCATCGTTAAAGGTAAATATGATTTGTATGGTTTTTATCCATAAATATTTTCTCTATTTTCTAATTAAACCAGATGAAATGAATCCAACTTATAGTAATAGAACCGAAGTTATAGTACCGATTCTTGATGAACGAAATGCACGCAGACTTTCGTTAGTTTCTGAAAGTAGATGGAGCGCTCGTATCGTTTCGGTCGAAAATCGAACAATGGTTGTCGAGATAAATAGTTCAGTCGATGCTATCATCGGTGAATATCGAATGGTCATCGATACCAGATCTCCTAATCGTATTGATGATTCATATTTTTCCAATCCAATTTCCGAATCATTCTATATGTTATTTAATCCCTGGAATCGAAGTATGTTTGCTATTATTTTAGATCTAATGAATTCATTTGATTTATTTCATTTCAAAGATGATAGTGTTTATATGAAGGATAGATTCTGGAGAGAAGAATATATCCTAAATGATCAGGGAATCATTTGGAGAGGAACACATGATCAAATGAAACCAACACATTGGAACTTTGCTCAGTTTGAAGAGAATATTCTAGAAGCTTGTCTTTATGCCTTGGCTAATATTGGCAAATTAAAACCGGCTGATCGGTAAATTATGATTTTCATTGAAATTTCATACTAATTTTTTTCACTATGCAAATCAGCAATGATCCTATTAAAGTATGTCGCCATATTGGTGCTATTGTCAATAGTGTTGATGATAAAGGTATCGTAGTTGGTAATTGGGATGAAAAATTTTATGGCGGAACACCACCGACCGATTGGCATGGTAGTGATGCCATTCTTCAGAAGTATTATCGTACAAAAAAATCTGTCAAATATGGTCAATGTTGGGTGTATTCGGGAGTTACATGTACAAGTATGCTTTTTTAATCGTATAAATGTAACATTCTATTTCACATTTGAATCATGATAATTATTAGTTTGCCGTTGCATTGGGATACCATGTCGTGTGGTCACAAATTATATGTCAGCACATGATACTAATACTAGCCTCACTGTTGATCGTTTTTTCGATGAAAATGGTGATCCGATCGAAAAATTGAATAAAGATTCTATTTGGAATTTTCATTCATGGGATGAAGTTTGGATGACCAGACCGGATCTCTCTGCTTCGAGCGCATACGATGGTTGGAATCTAATCGGTATACAAAACAAAAATCTTGTTCGTGTTTTGATTTAATCGCCATTCCATTTTCCAGATGCAACACCACAAGAACCATCGGATAATTTATATCGAGTTGGACCGACTAGTGTCGAAGCGATCAAATACGGAGAAGTGGCTAAAGCATATGATGGATTCTTTGTCTATGCCGAAGTGAATGCCGATGAAGTTTATTGGCTTTATAGAGATGATAAAAAACCATTGAAACTTATTACACAGCTTACAGAAAGGTAGATGAGTTTTGATGATCTGAATCCAAATTTAATTATTTACTTTCGTTTCAAAGTATTGGAGTGAAAATTGTCACGAAATCATTACATAAAAATCAAACCATAGACATAACTGAGAATTATAAACACAAAGAAAGTTCAAAAGCAGAACGTGAAAGCATGATAAAAGCATTGAAGATGACCAAAAGTAATTTCAGTCGTTATTATCTAAATGAAAAATTTGAAGATGTTCGATTTGAATTGGTGCCACTCGAAAATCGATTGATTGGTGAATCATTCAAGGTTTGTTTGTTTTTCTTTCAACAACAATAATAATAAATGCGTTCTAAATTAAATTTCCTTACTTTTCAGGTACAATTGTCAATGACAAACAAAAGCTACAAAGTTTATACAATCGAAGCAACGATTTCCGTTCGTTCAACAACATACAATGGTGTTTCAACTGCCGTCGTTCGACATGATACAGTCATCAAAACACTTGGCCCAAGAAAATGTATGCTTATTTTTAATTTCAAATTAACAAATCATTTGAAAATCATTGAATTTTTATTTATACAATAGCTCACATCGTAACGACCAATGTCACATATTTCGATTATGAACGGCATTTAACCTCACAATCCATATTTAGCATTTCGATAATGGCTAACGTTTTGGAGACGGATTTTCATGTTTGTTCATTTCGGTCAATTTATGCTCAAATTTTGAATTTTATTTTAATTTTATTCAATCAATTTAGTTTTACATGATGGAAGATTATCGTTTACGTTTGCCCGATATCCAAATTGAAATTGAAAGTGATGCTATTGTCAATAGACCATTATCGTGTCAGTTATCGTTCCAAAATCCATTACCTAAGCCATTGACTCATGGTGTGTTTACTGTTGAAGGGCCGGATTTTTCCACAAGAAATCAGGTTAAATTGAAAAAGTAAGTAATTTCAATCCATTTATTCAATAATTATTCCGATTTATTTGCCAATATTTTTTTTCAATTCATGTAGAAATGTCCTCCCTAAAGAACAAGCTACATCATTTCTAGTTATCACACCGAAAACATCTGGAGATAAACGTATAACGGCAAAATTTAAATCACGTGAATTAAACGATGTAGATGGATATGTTAATGTTCGTGTATTTGATGATTATGATGATAATAACAATGAATTAGAGGCTGAAACACGTTTTCATTCATCTTCATATGATAATAATAATAATAACATTATATTTAATGATATTCATGATGATTCAAATTGGAATCGTAATTCTATTTCCCGATGATTGAATCCTGTGATTATGTTTGTTAATTAATAAATAGAGGCAATTATCATTGTTATTAAAACACATACAGAGAGATTTGATTGTTTGATATGATGATTTTCGATTATGATTTTCGTAATTTACATTATGTTAAATAGTATCGATCATTGCCTTAGCAGTAATCATATTTTGTGAACAAATTAATGGCAGATGCATGGTCCATAATAACGATGATGATAATTTGCCCATGTGGATACGATTACAGCAATCAATGTTTGTCAATGGTGATATCAACAGATAGAATTGACCGGCAATTAATCCTAATGGATATGCAATGAATATGAGTACGGCTAACCAGAAAAATGTCCAAACACATTGTGTCAATGGTGAATCGGAATTTTGTAGTCCAATATTATTTCGTTGATGGCCACTGGAAGATGCGGCAAGGCTACAATTATTCGGTGTTGGTATATGACATACGAATGGTGTATTACGTCGATTTGTTTCATTCGCATTTGCTGATATGTTGGAGAAATCTCTATAAAATGTCAATCATATCGGAACAATAAAATAAAAAATAATAATTTAAATTAGATACGATTGTCTTTGTTGTTGTTATTGTTGTTCGTTAGTAATACAGTAATACCCCGCTTAACGCTGCCCCGTTTAGCGCTGATTCGATATAACGCTGTACAATTACCCTACATTACATTACATTGTTACATCGTATATGAAGGGTAAAAATGCATTATGTAAAGATAGCCCCGCTTAGCGCTGTTTCGCTTAACGCTCAGAATTTTTGGAACGTAACCCCCGCGTTAAGCGGGGTATTACTGTATTAGTAATTTCAATTGTTAATAAAATAAATTTCAAACATTCTTCAAACAATGGGTGTAAAATTATCTGGCAATTGTTGCCAAGTATTTTGCTTATCTCTACAATATTCTTCTGATGATTTTTAGCATAGTAATAATGAAAAAGAGGCACCAATGTAGCCTGAGTATAAAATTTTGCTAAAAGAATGCACCATTTGACAAATTGTTCTTTCATGATCTCTTTTTTTTCGATTCTTGCAATAAGTGAGACGTAAACTTATAGAATGACTAGGGGAATATGAGAATGACTGGCTGTCTATGTGTGAATTCTATAGTGATGATGGTCTGTGATGGTAAAGATGAAAATTTATTTGATACATCATTAACTTTTCATTGTAATAAATTAAAGCTTGCAATGAATGATAATAATGTGTTTTCGTGACATTCTTTATGGAGTAAGAAATTATTGTTGAAAGTTATCATCATTATAAATCAAAAGAATTGCACCTTGTCTCAACGATGGCTGGTACAAGTTTGAGCATTTCGATGAATGGTGTTTGGGGTGTTGTTCACATCAAGTTTTTTTAGGTGGAAAATTACGCCGATATTGAATGATTATCGGCATTCGTTGATGATGACGCAACTTGATTACCGTTATTGTCGTTGTCGTCGTTACTGTTATTACTGTTGCTATTGAATACGGGTGAATCAAAACGATCCAATGTTATTTTCTTGTTGAATATTTTAGCCGTACAGATTTTGGGTAATTGCACAAAATCATAAAATAAAAAGTTCATCAATCTAGGGAATAGATTACACGATTGAAATGGCTGTACAAGTACATATATGATTGTCATCAATGAACTTATGGGTATGACAATCAGAATCAATATGATTAGATAACCGATACTATACAGACATCTTGTCAATGTTGACCACATTTTTGTGGTTCTATGATCGACATTAAGAATCAAATAATATTAATCAATGATAAAAATCGATAATCATATCATTGCTCGATGATGATCAATTTATTTCACACTGACGACGTTCACAAATACTAACATTACAATGATGAATATAACAGTTTTGGGTGTTTGATAAAATGAACATCCACCAACATTGATGTGATTCTTTAAGTCTTTGAAAAATCTTCATCATGAAATTCCGGAATGAACTTGTGTATATTAAATGTTTGAAAGCTGTCAGCAGCCAAATACAACACACACACACACACACAGTGAGAGACAATCCCAAATCAGAATCGAGTGTGTTTAACCGAATTATTCGACTTCTGTATTACCGTCATCATCATCATCACCATCATCATCATCATCATCATTCTCATCGTCATCAGCATAATAACAATGTTTTGTTTGTTCATCATCATTTTTGCTCATTCTTCAAATCAATTTCTAAGAAAAAAAGGCAAAGTTATCTTCACGAATAAACGAATGAACGGGTGTGTAAGATGAATTTCTTTTGACAGATAAACTTTTTCTTCTTTAATAATTTTTTTTTCTGGTTTGTTCATCTACCGCCACAATTGTTTTACGAGAATGGATATTTCTAATCAAATAGAATCATTCATTTGAATGTTATGATTTGTGAATATTTAAATTTATCAAATAGAAAATAAATTAGTGATTATGTTGTGTGAGTTTGTGTGAAACATCATCATCATCATCATCTACAACTTCGTCGAAAATTCGTTAAATTTGTTTGTTTGGTTGGCAAACTAAAAAAAAAAAATAAACGAATGAATGTCGTTGCCAACAACATTAAATTGGCAATGAATGAATAGAAAAACACTCGTGTGAATGAATGGATGAGTGGAAATCCGATTATAGCTATGCCAGTAGTTTTGATATATCTCTAAGAAATATATTGCCATTCGATTTAGCAAAATAAAGAAAAAATAGAAAATAGATTTTTCTCTTCTTTTGCTTTTTTTCATCTTCATTTCCAGGATCCTAATGGATAAATTCAAACTTTTTTTTTTGGAATATTCGATTACACATTCTATGTTTACAACAACAACAGCAGCAATGATGACGACGTTGATACTGACAATAAACATAGAAGCAGACAATGAAATATGATCAAAATGATGGATTTTTTTCTGATGGTAGTCCTCATTGCCATCCCATCTCGTATAATAATAATAATAATAATAATGAGGATGATGGTATGGTGACAAACGAATTATTTGTATGTAGAATATTCTTATCCGAATATACAAGAGTAAGAAGGAAAACCTATCAATCTTTGGATAAGACACACAAAATGGTGGTTCCAAAAATGATTCATTTCATTCGCTTTTGCTTAAATGTTTTTTTTGTTTGGTTGTCAATTCTGAGCCTAAAATTAAACTAGATTTACTACCCTCTCTCTCTTAAGCTAGCAATTAACCAACTAAAACTATCAGGGCATATATTATATGAAGATTCTTTTAATGATCATTATAATCAAAAGATGCAAATTTATCCAACAATAATTATCAATATTTAGTAATTTTGCAGAATAATTACTGCAAACTAAACCAGCATATCAGGAATCCAAAAAATCCTGTTGATAATGGCATCACAATTATGTAAATAATCCTAATTGAGATTATTCAGTGGGAGGATGATGATGATCAAAAACAAAAGTTCTTTATGCCTTGAATTTTTATTAAAATCTTGTAATTTGAAATCTAACCTAATTAAAAATAATGATCAATTTACGTAAATGCTATGGTGAAAAAATTGAAAGGTAGAAATAGATTAAAATGAAATATGAAATTCATTCTAATCACCGATATTTTATTTTATTTTGCCACAAAAGAATTTCAAGAATTCAAGTGACGAAAACAACAACACAATTGGCCTTGAGCATTTTAGTTTTCAAAAATACAAAATCTCATCAATGTTAAATGAGAGAAAAACAAATATGGCATTAGCAATAGATTTCAAAGAAGAAAATAGGAAGTTGATAGAAATATCTTGCATAAATGAATGATTTCAGGTTATGAAATTCGGCCATAAGTAACTATTTTGATTTATTTAAATGAATGTATAAAAAAACAAAATGATCATGGCCAGACAACATGGGCAGCCAATCAAATCAAAATGGTATGATCATTCGATCTATCAATCAGTTGAAAACCGAAATGATGAAAAAAAAACAGTTGGACTTTGAATCCATGTCTCTTATTGAAGAAAATATGTGCGAATGATAATAAAAATATGCATAATGCAAAAAAATGCTTGATTATGAAAACTGATTTGCTTCAGTTGCTGTTGGGCGAAGAGAAAAACAAGAAAATTTGATAAACAAACAAGTAAAGTCATTTTGAATTTTGATCAACAAACAACAACAACAACAACAACAACAAAACAAGAAATGATGGATCAATCGGTAATTCCTGAGGCTAAATTGATCGATGTTCATTCATGGTTAGAGGAGAATGAATCAAATTTTAAGCCTCCTATTTGTAATAAAATGATGTAAGTTCATCATGAAAGAATTAGGAGAATAATTATTGAATATAAATATTATTCTGTCATTATTAATACAGGCATAATGATCAATTGAAAGTATTTTTTGTTGGTGGACCAAATGAACGAAATGATTATCATATTGAACTTGGTGAAGAAGTAAGTATTTATCTGTTGTTGTTGTTGTTTTTTATAAAAATTGCTCAATTTGATAATTGTATGTATCATATGGTCAAGTTTTTCTATCAATTAAAAGGCGATATGTGTTTGAAAGTTATAGAATGTGGTCGAAAAAAATCGATTCATATTCGACAAGGAGAAGCATTTCTATTGCCAGCGCGAATACCACATTCACCACAACGAAAAGCCAATACAATCGGTATGAAAAAAGATTATAACTGAAATCAATAGTTTTTTTTGATCATCAATCGTTTCAATCGTTGTTACTAAATGATTTTGCAATTTTTCCCTCTTCTCTTTCTCCCCATCCATCCAATTCATCCTTAATATCCAAAAGGAATGGTTATTGAACGACAACGAGAGAATAATGAACTGGATGGACTTCGTTATTATGTTGATGATGACGGTGAAAATATTCTCTATGAACGTTGGTTCCATTGCTATGATTTGGGCACACAATTAGCGCCGCTCATTAAGAAATTTCATGATTCTAACGAATATAAAACGGGAAAACCATCGGAAAGTAAAATCATTCTCTAAATATAAATTGAATCCAAAACGAATTTCAGTCTTATCATTATTATTATTTCAATTTTTTCTCTTTTATATCAAACCAACTTTTTGTTGTTGTTGTTGCTGCTGCTGTTGTTTGCTGATTGTTAATAACTTATAGATTCACGATTGATTGAGGTGCCGTATATGGATGACAACAGAACCGTAAATATTGATCCAATTAGTTTATCAAAATGGTTGCAATGTCATGATGAAGAAATCGATCAAATTGGTCATCGAACATTGTTTGATGAATCCTATGGTTTTACCACACGAGTACAAATTTATGGTGGCGATTTTAAACATTGTATTCGATCCGATAAGAAAGACGATCGATTCGAAATTTTTATATGGCAAATGGTAACCAACCATCTTCTAAAAATATTTTCATGTTTTAATTTGATTCTCTTTTCACTCTCTTCCAATGACAATGATAATAATAATGATATAAGGTGAGTTCGGCCACTATACGATTGGGTCAACAGCCAATAATTCATTTGAAAACGGGAAATAGCTTAAGAATTCCTCCATTTACACGGTATGTAGTTATAATACCAACCATAGTAGTTTTTATAATACCAATATAAAATGTGCCCATTTTGGGTGGGTAAAACTAGGGTTGAATTGGACACACGATCTGGTTGCTATACATTGGTATTGTCAATGCCATCATCATCATCATGAAATAAACTTGGTCCAATCGAATAATGATCGAATTTATTTGCTGATGGCATACCGAAAACTAACCGAACCGAAACAACAATTCAGAATGCTGCTTAGAAACAAATCTCACCTTTATGGCCATTCAACATTTTATGATGATTCAAACACAAACACATACACATACACCTGAATGCATCGAACCAAGGCTTAACAACAACAACCAAAGTGAAATGAAAAATTTGCCGGGATCATTTGAACCTAACCAATATCAATATATGAAGATTCATACAACTGGAATTTGGGAACAAAAATTTAATAATAATAATAATAATAAATACACCCTAATGTCTAATTTATCTTCAAATGGACATAAATCTTGATTATAAGAATGAAATAAACAGAAGCATCAGCAATAATATAACAAATAACAACTGGCCAAATTCTTTTTGTTTTCAAACAAATACCTTCAATATCACTCAAGGTTGTTCTAAATAAAATATAAACCATTATATTTCCAATATCAATTGGAAAATGCATTCAATTCAATTATTTGATCCAACAAACATGAATTGAAGATGTAAACATTTATATTCCTATCAAACCTTTTTTTTCATTACTTAAGATGAGAGTTTCATTAGAAAATTCTTTCATTTCTGGTGAATATAAATTTTGTGAATTAATACATTCATTATCATTATCAGCATAATAATCATCGTCATCGTTCTGATGTTCAATTTGATTTCTAAATTCTTTATTACATTATTCGCAAATAAGTTTTTGTATACACGATGCTCTGTATATTCAAGATATAAACACTCTAGAGACGTTTCAAAATTTAAAAATAAGAAAGTCCAACCTTTTTTTTATTTTTATTTTTCTCTCTCTCTCTCTCTCACTCTACAAGGGAATCTTTATTTTTATTTCATCAATGTTTTCATGTTTAATTCGATCTTTACTTCGATGATGATGATGATGATGATGGTGATGGAATTTGGATTCAAATCAGAAAAAAAACATCACAAACATAATGAGATGAAAACAGAAAATTTAATGAATAACATCAACATAAAATCAAGCAACATGAAATTAAATGAAAATAAAATAAAAATAAAAACATAAACATAGTCACACAGACACATACGGCATACTGGCAAATAATGGATTGTGAACATGATTGAATGCCATTTTCAAATATTCATCATTCATACATCGTCAACATCATCAGAATCACGAAAAACGGAAAATTGAAAAATTCAATTTTCATGTCGCATTTTATGACTATGTGTGTGTGTGTGTGTGTGTAAGTGATTCGGATCACAACATTTCTATGTATTGGTCAGTGACCGAACTGATCGGAAAAAATATATATATTTGATCAATGATTTCGTGCGTGCAGCTAATACTATCGAAAATATGATACATACATACATATACATCATAAAGAATCACGAACCAAATTCAAACGACAGATTTTTCATTGACATTCAAACGAAATCTGAGAACCTAAGAAAGTAGGATTTATTTGACTTTTTTGTTTGTTTGTTTGTTCGGTTCAACATTGCCATATAATCAGCATCATTGTATTGTAATTTAATTTGATTTGGTCACCATCATCATCATATGTTCGATATCGTTCATTCGACGAAAAACTTTTTCCTTTTCCATTCTTTTCATCCATTGATCATCAGATGAGAATCATGGAATGAATGGAAAAAATATTTATCTTCACAATAAAAAGATCGAAAATACGGTTTGTTTTGATCATTCTTGGATTTTCGTGATACCATTGTTTCTATTAAACTTTTATCAATTTGATTTGATTGTAATTGACACGCAAACTTGTAAATTTTGTTGTTTTGTTCAAAAGAAACAAAACAAAACAAAAAATAGAATTTATTTGGGCATATGGTTTGGGCAACGTTGATAAGATAACTGAATCAAAACAAACTTAACTTGAAACATTGGATCATAAATCGAATTAAATCGATGATTAATCACAAAAATAATTATGCAGACAAACATACATACACATTCCAAATAATAAGTATTCAAAGAATTTAGAAATTCTTTCATTGATCAGAAAAAAAAGACAGAAAAGTTTAATCATTAGAAACTTTGTTCCAAAAGTTACAAAAGAATTCTATATATTTTAATCAATCAACCACAATGACTGCAATTTGATTATTAGATGAGCTAAATTTTTTCAGGTTATAATCACATGCACATTTCACATTCATTTTGATTATTTTCCATCATCATCAATGAGACCACAAAACCATCACTTTTATTGTAACAAACAAACATATGATAGAAGAAAAAAAAATACTTCAACCAATTGTAATCAATTAGAAGTTTCCAATTGATTGACATTCAACTTTTTAGTAAAAAGAGAGAGAGAGAGAGAGAGAAAAAAAATCGCCTTAAAATGAGATCACATGAGATTCTATACACATACAAATGAATTTTATTCAAAAAAATGACATGAGAGAATTCAATTTCAGGAAAACATTGAATAAGATGATGATGATGATTTCTAACTTATATTGATAGAAAATATATGAATAAATATTTCGAATAAAAAAGTTTTAATTCCCTCATTACTATTATTATTATTATATTTTCATCATCATTATTTTATTATTCTTATGTTTTTTTTTCTCTTACAGAATCTATCTTATGATTTTGGTGATGTGCTACAAACAAACACACACACACACACACACATTTCCATTTGATTGACCGAAAATTTTACATCGATTCGTTTTTGGACTTTTTACATACATACATATGCACTAATACACACACACAAGCAAACTTTAATCTCTATTTTATTATAAAATATGAAATTCTCGTCATGTGACATAAACGAAATGGACAAGGGAATAGCTATGCTTTTGTCAAAAGATGAAAATAAAAACCTTCCTGCACATTTCAATGTATATATGGCTGAAATCAGTCATCATTTTCTTCATCAACACCATTAAAATGAATGTGAATGTAAGAATCTTATGAATACCAACAACAGGAAGAGAAAAAAATTTTGATTCAACAAAACATGGATCCAAAAAAAAATGGATTGGAATAAAAGAAAATGAAAGTGAATGAAAAACGCAAAAAAAGACTGGCCTGAAAAAAGTAAACCTAATGCAATTTGATGATAAGACTTTTTTCTGTTTGTCGTCGTTGTTGTTGTTGTTGTTGTTTTGTTGGTTGTATGAATGTCTATTGAATTCAATTCATTATGAATCTGCTTCATGTTTTGATGTGTATGGCATCTCCTTAAATTCATTCATCATTGGTTGATATATACAATAACTAGTATTTCATTTATTTGTTATTACGAATGAAGATGATGATGATGATGATGATGTACTTTCCGTCAATTCACTAATAATCACCCACCATACACATATATAATAACATTCGATACAATTTGACATTATAATGGCATTCAACACAGCTAGCCAACAAAAATACAATCAAATTCAGCTTGGAATTTTTTCCTCTGAATCATGTGAATAAAAATAAACTTTTTTTTGCATTTAAGAATTCAAATTGATTCAATTCTTGAACTCTTTAAACTTGGTTTGTTTTGATGAGATTGAAAATTTTTTTTTTCGATCAACATAGATTTTATTCAAGCTCATACAAATAATAGTTCTAGAGAATGACAACTTTTTTTTGCCAATGCATCATTGTTGTCGGCATCTAATCAGGACTCAATTCCGGAGAATTTTAAATCAAGAATTTTTCAATTTTTAAACATCAGGAAATATTTGTCAAGAAACAAAAAAATGTTTCATAAAGATTGCAAATTTGAAAACAGAAATCCCAATCATTCAAATGGATAGACAAAGCAGCCGGAATTTTTTTTTTGTATTGATCCATTTGACATCGTATATAACCACTCTGTGTTTGAATCTATCTATCATTTTTCAAGTCTAACTCATTCAACTTTTGACTTTTTCTCCAATCATTCTGGTTGGCATCCAAGTTTTGATAGAATTAAAAAACAACAATAATAATAACGACAACAAAAAAAATCTAAAAACAACTTATGATAACTTAATCAGCATTGTGTTTGGGCAAGATAGAAAAATCCCTAGAGAAAAAAATAAGGCCATAGTTTTTTTCTGTAATAATAATAATAATAATGATAACACAAAAGAAAATAATAAAAAAAACATATGATGATGGTGCCCGAAGAAGATCGGCAACAACAGCAATTGCAATGATAGAATAACCAACAACAACAACAACAACAAAAAACCGACAATAAAAAAAAATTGTCCAATTGTGGCCTTCTTAATTGGCTTCGCATGAAAAAGTCTGGCCCGGTTTCTTAAATCGTCATGATTTTTTTTCTTTTTTCCAACATTATTGTTGTTGTTGTTAGTAGGGCCTTTAGATGTGAAATGAAATGAAATGAAATGAAATGATGATGATGATAATAATAAAATGCCAAAACTAAAGACAATGGCTGAAACTAAAATTGGAGATTAAATTTCATTCCTACTATTTTCAATTTAATGAATTTATTTCAACAAACCAAACAATAACAATAACTTTTTCCATAACATCGTCAAATGTTTTTATAAATGTCGTTATACACACGGGAGGCAGTAACTATTAGTATAACTAAAAAACCTTTATCTTAAAATGGTGAAAAAAAACTTACTTAAATCATTTTTTATTATTAGTCTCTCTGGACATGGATATAAATCGATAACGTTATTGTTGTTGTTTTTTTTCATCATTTTTATCCCGGTATCCCTTTTGAATTAATCGAATCTGAGTAGAATAAAGTAGAAATAAAAAAAAAATTCGACAAAAATAAATAAAAATCATTCCCTCTGAAATCAGAAATTGGACTTAAAATTTCACAATTAAAAGTTTACCGAAACCTTATGTTTTTTTTTACAATGCGAATTTTTGTTTTGAAAGTGAGAAAAACTTTGCAATATCAGATTTGAAGAGTCTGACAACAAATTTTTTTTTTCATAGACTTGACCGATACATACACGAGAATTCAAGTGTTGTTCACAGGTACATTTGGATCCATATATGTGTTAAATGAGAATCGGACATTGTTGTATCTTTACCATTCATTCATGTTTCGTATAAATGAAAGTTATTTTTTATTCTATTGGCAATTTATTTCCACTTTCTAATGAAATTATATAGTTGTGTTTTTTCATTTTTTTTTTTTTTTTTTGGTCCAATCCATTGTATTACATTCATCTAAATTGATAATGATGATGATGATGAAAAAGAGAGAGAGAGAGAGGTGATTGGAAGATTGGTTGGGGTTGGATGGTGTTTTTTATTCTATCATTTGGCTATTATCTTCATCAATAAAGTATTCTTGGTTGTTGTTGTCTAAAATAAAATGAAATATAAAAAAAACGACGACGACAATGATGATGAGGATAATGATGGTGGCGTCATTAATGGTCGTGTCCGGTAAGCGGGTAACATTATATAAAAGATGGTAGTTTGATCACATCAAGAATGAATGTGGAAACCTAAATGATAATAATG